GATGTCATCCATAAAATTAAATCGGTGTGGCCTAAACGTGGCTTAAGCTTAGGGATGTTCTTTTCATTGTTTCCTCACTGGCAAAAGCGACTAACATCAAATCATTTTTTACAAGATGATCACGTTTGGAGATTGATTCTTGTTTAAGACATTGTATGACTACTCTAATCAGAAATTGTTCGTGCCGATTTAGAAAATTAATTTAAATAGATGTTCTTTAATCCATCATTAATAGTCTCTGAGATGTTCCCTTGCTTTTAAAATACATGCTGCACGAGTATATTAACTTCATAATAGCCACCATCGTCGTATATCATATTATAACTTCAAATTTCCTACTAATGCATATATGAACTCAAGGTATTGTTGTCTAAATTTCACCATAATAGCATGTAAGGTCTTCATAAGATGCTTTCAAGCAAGGACATTGCTTCAAAGTTTGTACTGAGTTTATTCCACGTCAAGAGCATCAATATGCCACTTATAATAAAATTTACGACGTAACGTTACCTAATGAGAAGAACTTCTTCCCCCAAAGACATCATTATCTGCTGTATACAATTTGTCTCTCAAAGGATGTTAATGAGATATTATTCATCTCAGTCGGCTACAGGACTGTAAGGGTTTTGAACCACACCAACCGGGATGGACCCATGCTCTCATGGATAAGTGCGGTGAATTTTAAATGTACCTCTCGGTGTGAGGGGTCTTCAAACTCCGAGTCAAGGTCGAAAATTTGTGTCTTTCCCGGGGACATAACACTGGACCCTGTCCAGAGTTCATTTACAAGACGCTTATTTACAAGTGAACGCTTCTGACATTTAGAAGACCTTTACAACACCTTCACGGGACCTTTACAAGAGCAAGAAAAGGATATGCGAGTTCCTCCGCGCGGTTGACATATTTGAGGATCCATCAACTACGTTCTGGTGAAAGGTTCCGGCGTAGTCAATACATGAGATCTTAACATATCACATCCCATCCTCGCTCCTGGTCGTTCAAAAGGTTGTCAAACAGGCTACTCCATATCTTCCGGGCACAGACAGATATAGTTGTAGATAGCAGATAGTAGTTGGCATTTGGCGGCCTTGAGGTTATGGCTGTTGACTCGAAATCTATTCTAAAGTTGTTTTTTTGCTCAAATCCCTGACAGGCCCCAATGTAGTGCCATCGGGAAAGATACAAATTTTCAACCTCTAGTCGGTTAGGTTTTTAAGACCCCCTCACCGAGTACATTCAAAATTCACGGCACTTATCCATAAGAGCATGGGTCCATCTCGGTTCGTGTGGTTCAAAACCCTCACAGTCCCGACTGAGATTAATAATATCTCATCAATATCCTTTGAGATACAATGTATACAGCAGGTAATGATGCCCGTTGGGAGATGTCTACTCATTAGGTAACGTTACGTCGTAAATTTTGTCATAAATGGCACATTGACGCTCTAATACGTTTCCAAACAAAATGAATAAATAGGTGGGTTTATGAACCTTTACCATACAGCCATGTCCAGAGGAGGGGCTAAATAAAAATTTGACCAAATACAGTCTTTCTAAAACATGTGTTAACTGAAAATAAGTAAAGGAAATAGCCAAAGCAAGCTCGAAAAGCGCTGATGATGATATGCCTAAGCCATTCTATAAACCGTTTTCACACACGTGTATACACAAGCAAACAGACAGACAGTCATTGATAAAAAGACAAGGTAAATATTAATAGTATACACGGCAGTGGTGCCTGTATAAAAGAGGTCAATGCCCTCAAGATAAAGTACAGCTGTTCTGATAGTAAAGACACGAAAGTTTACCAGAGGTCGAAACGTAAAATATGACCTATTTTTTTGCATCGCCATTGGTCCCATCTGGCATATAAGTAACGATCTAGCCAGTAAAGTTATCAGGAAATACGACAGCAATGGTCACAAACCTGCGCATTTATTGCTTGTCTCAAGAATTTCGAAATGATACGGCCATAACTCAAACGAACTCACCACATAATAATTATGCTTCATCGAGGTTGATTGATTCGTGAGGGCAAAAACCTCCACGAAAACCATTCCACTGAAACTGATTTTCTGTCCCAATTTTACTGCAAAAATGTACAATTACTATATATCTAAAGTAATAACACAAAGTATAACAGGCCTTGCGGTTTGTTTAAAAAAGGAGAGAATCAATTTGTGTGTTTTTCACTGTTCTAAATTAATACTCAGAATGTGTAGATAATTTTTAATGGCCCACATCGATCCTACAAGTAAGACCACAATAGCACACCCGTGTTACAACATTATCGCCTCGGTACACTCTGTTGCTTTTCAAAAGTCGTGCCGACAGAGAAATTTAATTACCCACTCAATCACAAGGACCGCACAGGCCTATTAGCAAGGCATGGATTTGCATCTTGAAATCACCTCCGTGAAATATGTATCAGATGGCCGTACGTTATTGATCCTTAAGGGCACACGGTGTCAACCTTAATTACCACGTGTCAACCCTTAAGAAAAATAGTTCAGTTTTTTTCCCTCATTCCTTTACATTTTATTCGTACGGAGACTTACTTAGATCTAACGAACAGTAGTGTAAAATGTAGTTAGGCGTCATATACTTGTGATTTGTAACATAGTCTTACAGTATGCCGTACATCTAAACTGTAATTTCCAACATAAAGATTTGAATTGACCCAAATTTTCAACTGTACAACACCAGTCTTTGTCAAGGAATGAGCAATGGAAAATGCCATTTAAATTTACGGCATAGATGACGTCTACCAACACAGATGAAATTCCCAGATACTCTCACAGTAAACCTAAGGAAAAAGTGGAACAAAGTATAACATCAGTTAGTGAATGAATGAAGATTATTTATTGTACAATTTGGACCACTGGGCTAAGCACAGGTCACAAGATTACAATCATATACATATACAATACATTAAATACATATACATACGAGTATAACTGTAAAATGTGTATATAAACGTCTAATGTATTCTAGTCTTTTCAACTTCCTCTCGCCTCCTGTATGAGGCTGTATGAGAAGTTAAATCAAAGGCTAACAGGAATATAATTTTTTCTTTACTTGTCAAGGATCTAAAGTTTGGAAATTTACTTAAAACATGACCGAATAGTATGTTTATCGTTGTTATATAAAGGACAATCTATGGTAAAATGAACTTCGTCCGCTACTCTACCTAGACTACAAAATTCGCAGAGTCTTTGACACAACACAGACCTATATTGAGGGACACTGTATGTCTAGTATCCTGACCTATATCATCTCGGTATCAACCCTCCTGTCCTGTATGTAAACGATGACAGACGACGCGAAGCGGGGACTTTATTGCGTCCCTTTGCAAAATGGTGTGACTCGCTGTTTGTCTAATCGTAACACATCGGCACATAGTTATGTAAAATCGATATGATTTATTCTCCAGAGGCGATATGTATTGACTGGATTCCATGGAAGTGGGCCATGGTTTTATTAGCTTGGTTTAATTGTTGAAAAATCGACTTATTTCTCTTTTAGTTCATCTATGATTGAATATCTACTACATTTTACTTTCATCTTCGCTGAGATAAACCTTTCTTGTTGGGCCCTGATACTGGTGCCAAATATCACATACTGCAATCTGTCACCAGCTGTCAGTCTGTAGTATTTGTAGCCTCCTTCGCAGACTTGTTGGGTGGGGGCATTATTTTTTCGGTGAGCGACGCGAGTTACGCCACGGAGGGCCGATGTTGCCGCCGAGGGAGTTTTCCCGCTCCAACAAGGAGTCCCTCCGCGGCATAACTCGCGTCGCTCACCGAAAAAATATAATAATGCCGCCGCCCAACAGGCAACAAGTCTGCGAAGGAGGCTATAGTTTGGTTGTAACTCGCAGCTGAAGGGCTTGGGGATCTCATTGGATCTGAAATGCTTACAGGTCACATTTCTAAACCGGGGCCCGGCCGGGCTGTTTGTATGAATGAAAAAAATAACAATTGAAATCAAGAATGTACAGAAATAGTGCCCATGATCATTATTAAAACTTTTCCGCGGTTTGTTGTCTTTTATATATCGTACTTTTCGTTCCCAAAAGCTGCACAGTCGGGCCCCCCGTGGAAATTGTGACCTCGGCATGAAGAAGTTAAGTGACCCACCCGCAAACTTGCGTCTGATTGCGGAGGTTTCTGAATTTTCTTAAAACAATTTTGTAAAAGCTTTCAGACGATTTCGATCTGTCGTCGCACACGTAAATTGAGTTTGTCCTGTGATGGACGTTAGTCTAAAGTCTGCTTCTTTCAGGGATTTAAGGCTTTATTTGTTACATTGTTTGTGCCCATCGAATATATCGATTAGAAGAAAGGTTGTATGCCTTACTTACTCTCTTGTTCGTCCTCTTGCAACCGGTCTTTTGACGGTTTTATTTTCACATTGTTTGTGCCCAGCGAATACATCGATTAGAAGGTTGTATATATGGATGCCTTACATTTTGTACTTCCTCTCTCATTCGTCCTCTTACACGACTTGCCAATTAGCAACAATAAATCACAGTTAATTGTAAAGATATAGCGATTTTAGTCCGTCATTGATTCTCTGCTCTATTTATAGCTATAGATGGTCATTCATTTCTCAAAAAAAAATTTCCAGCAGATGTTAGCTCTAGCTCTAGTCAACAACAGCATCATTTCTTGTACACAGTGTCCATATTCAGCAATGCAGCTACCTCAAGTTTTTTGAGCGATGTTTGAAATTGTAACTCCGTATCAAACATAGAAAAAATACCATGCTTTTGGTTATACATTTAATACATAACAAATATACTTAATTGTTTATTTGCAAAATCATGCCCGAAGGCTAATTGCGTGTACAGTCAATTATATGTACAGTCAATATATGTGTAGTTAATTTGTCAAAATTACCCTCTTGAGCAACGGGATATCCAAGTATATGATAAGTAATGTACTGGTCCTGTGGTGGTTGTAAAAACCGCTAGGTAGCGCTTTAAGGTACCTACGGGTCCGAGGGTCAGAAAGTAGGTCATAGTGCACGCCAGTGCGGCAGGTGTTCAAAGGAGTTGGGCAGGTGTTCAAAATATAAGAATTGTAAGTTTTTCAGTGCTCATTTTCACGATTTCCATGTGTTTTTCCTCTGTGCATGCTACATGGATAACATTCCGGTACCGTCAACTGTGCTTGGACCATATTTAAGGTGGAATTCTAAGGAAAGGGGATCCAAAAAGAATGTTTGGCATGTTATGACCTGACTAATTGTCAGGTGTGTAATTAACGTTGATGGGGCGGTTTTGCACTATCAAATGTCAGGGGAAAATTCGTGATGTTAGGGTCAGCCATTAACAGAATGCAAGCACATGTGTAGACTGTGCCTATTCAAGGTCTATGACCCCCGGACGAAAGGTTGGCCTCAGGGACGTCCTTGAGCGGTGCAAAGTACACTGTGACTGTTTGTCCTTATTGGGTAAGTGTGGCATAGATCTAGAGCAGTCTGGGATAGGTCGTGACACTGTTTTGTCGATTTCAGGACACAGATTTAGATCATCATGGTAGGCGTAATACTACGAACAGGCACTGTGATCAAAACCCTCCTACAACAGTCCAGAGCTGTGCAACAAGTCGCTGGATACAACCTCAAGTCTTTCACAACCAGGTAAGGCATGTCAGGTTAATTGTATGAAAATACTATAGTTCTTTTTATATATACTGATAAATATGTTGTTTTACTTTAAGAGTCGAGGAAAAACCGTCAGTGATGTTATGGATAGTTATGCCGTCAAATTTTAACATGTAACATTGCTATGAGTTAAAGTTGATCAACTGTACGTTGCATTCTCCCATTAGCCTTCATGTAGCCTTCTTGTGAAGGTAATTCAGAAGGCCTCAAGTAAAAAAAAAAGGTTTTAAAAAAGTCGCCACGGTCATCTACCATGTAGATATGTTTCTCAACTACTAACTACTTTTTGTTTTGTTGTAAATGTTGTTGTTGTTGTTATTTACAGTCCTGTAACATGCAATCTCGCTAGTCAACATGTCGGGGTGATAGGAGGAGGGAACGTCGGGAGAGCCGTCGCCATGGGTCTTATCAAACACGGTCATACAGTAAGGAAAACATTCCTCATATTACAGACATTTTATTGATTACATAGCTCAATAGGAAAGGTATTTCAATATCCAATGTTTGGCAGCAGACATACTATCAGACAGAAATGCAAAAGTTACAAAATTTCACGATGAAATCAGGCAACTGGTGCTTCTTGCATTGTGTTTAGAAGACTATAAAGTTTTATCACATTTATACTTATTGATTGTAAATTGAGTTTGATTGTCAACTTTAACTCTTTATTAATTTAACTCTTTTATATTATCATTGTAAATGCCTACTAATTCAGACTTAGTGTCTGCAAGAAGGTGTGTGAATAAAGTTTCAAAGTTCTAGAAAACAGAACAGATCAAAATGTCAAAATTGTAGGGATGCAAAACTTGAACGCAAGTTGACTATCACATAGTGAAAACTAAACTTTGTATGAAATCATAAATTTTGAAAATGAAGAATGATCCAATGTATGTACTGTTCCAACTCAACAGGTGACAATATATGACCCTGATACCTCCAACAAAAGCGAGCTGGAGTCCCACGGGGCGACCTGGGCACCCTCGTCGGTAGAAGCCGCGCGGGCCGCCGAAAGGGTTCTGTTCACGGCCCTGCCGGCCCCGCCTGAAGTCAGACAGGTCAGCGACAAACTGTGCACGATGTAGAACAACTTATCTACAAAACCGTATGTACTAAAACAGTAAAGGCTAGGACAATTCTCTGTCCCTAACGTACATGATTAATCCAGTGATAATCATCAGTAAACACAGTGGGTAATTATGCATATTTGTGAAGAAGAAACTAATCCTGAGGTAAGTGTAACAAACGGTGATGTACACCTTCAGTAACAAGTGGTGACCGTACAAAGTGGTGTATCAACTACTAAGGTCCTGAGATTACGTAAAATGAATACATGAGTTTCGGGGTGCGAATTCCTACTTTTCTGTTTCTAGGTGATGGAAGAAGACGGCGTGTTGGAGTTGCTGAAGCCTGGAAGCTGTTGGATCGACCACACCACCACTGACCACGAGGAAACCAGGCGACTCTTCGCCAAAGCGCAGACCAGGGGCGTCGACATGCTGGAGTGCCCCCTAACTGGTAAGGACTGGCGGCCGCTATCTTGGATTTTAAAATAGCAAGGTCATGTGCGTTATTGCTCAAAATTACAGTAATGGTTAGAAAAATATATTAAGCAAGGAAATTTGAAGAAAAGGGTCGTCTAAATGTGAATTATACATTGTAGATGAAGTGTCAGATAGCTAGTTGTTATGGAAATGTGATGTGCATGTATTTGCATTTGGAAATGCAGACATCTTGACTAAAAACCAAATCAAAAAGTTCAAATAGGATCATGAATATTTGTATATTACAATCGATCCACTGAAGCTCAACCTCATAGTCACATTCAAAAGGTTACAAATGTTTAAATCACATTCAAAGTCACTTTGCAAGCCACTACGTAAATCCCATCGTGTTTTAAGTTTCAGAACAAATTTCTATGTCAATACCTTCTTTCTAGAACAACTAAATATACCAGTTAAATTTCATTGTTTTCCCCTCTCTGTGAGTACAGGTGGTATGGAGTTGTTGAAGGCCGGACTGATGACTGTGTTAGTAGGAGGGGACAAGACCGTACTGAACCAGTACGAGTCACTGATACGGAGTTATACGGACACTGTTCTGTATATGGGTCCGGCGGGACATGCCAGTATTGTCAAGGTACGTATACACATATGTTTGAATGAATGATTAGATATTACATGCTCGGGGAAATACTTAAAATCGTGCACTTGTGTTGAAATCAAAATATGCATAAAAGATTATGAGTTTTCAGTGCAATTGATATTTGAATGCCATTTTGTACTTTCTCTACTTGAAAAAAGGAATGTTTCACTTACAAATCATTTGTAGAATGTCAGACTTGTTTTGGGAAATTTCTCGCCATGCATAGCTTGAAATTCATCTGTATTTGTAGAATCAAAGAGGTTTTCTTCATGGTAACGTCCTTGGTAGAATTCAAGCAGCAGGATTCAACCAAGGAGGTCATTTTCCGCAGATAGATAGAGTAGATGACTTGATTAAAAGGGATAAAATCTTGCAGGAAGCTTATAGCGTCCGCCGTCTCGTATTTCAGGTGATCAGCAACATGCTGGCCGGGGCGCACATGGTTCTGACGGGAGAGGCCGCCATGATCGCGAAGAGAAACGGCGTCAACCTGAACGCCTTCTGGAACGGCATCCGTGCGTCGGCCGGAAACTCCTTCGTGTTCGAGACCGAAGCGCCCCTCATGTTCAACGGCACCTACCAACCAGGGTTTGCCATCAAGCTTCACTGTAAGGTAACGCCAGTAATAGGCTCCGCCCCTGGGGCGTTGTTAAAAAGGTTAGGGGAGGGGCTTGGCTACATCTGTTTTGTACGGTTCAGTAATCTCGCTGCAATACATATTTTTTTTAACAATTCAGAACGTATCGGAAGGTAGAATTGAACATAATCTGCTATGTACGATCCGGAAGGTTGGCGCCGCCATGTTGTCCTGTGACATGATGGACACTTAGGATACAGGAGTTTTCTTTTACACAACGAAGATTTTTCAACTAAATACTGACGTTAAAGTTTCGGTGTCTGTCAGACACCTTCCTCAGAGCTTCTGACTGGAGTTCTGCTTCTCGCCGCTATATGTAGCCGATGTAGGCCGCGCTTTTGCGGCAATAACACAAAATGGACACTTGTTTTTCAGGACCTCGATCTTGGGCGGAAGCTGGCGTTTGACACAAACGTCCCCATGGATCTCCTCAGCATGACGGAACAAATCTACCGCCGGGCCATGTTCAGGTAGGAAATAAAAACATTTTATTTGTAGTAAAACGTTGAACTTTATTCCAAGACAATGTTACACAGAGATCAAATTTTAAACGACCACTGTCGCCTTCATCAGGATAATTAATGACCAATCACTTCACAATGTAATCTCGCGAGAGTTACGGTTACAGACAGGTGATCTCATTCACACGACACTTTACTGATACGTGACGTAGGCAATTGATCAAAACTTTTTATTTGGTAAGCTTTTCTGACGCTGGAAAAATGAATCACAAGATGTCTCCACCCCTGAGGCGTCGCAAAAAATTGTTCATTACCTTACTTAATCTCCATGTGTTCATTGGTGAAGGTATGGACAGGATGCGGGAAGCTCACATCCTCCTAAGATGCTGGAAGAAGATCTTAAGGTGTCTCTTAGGGCCGGGGGCTATGACACCTGGCACTATAGTATCGAGAAGGTCCGTATTAATGGTATTTTTATCAAATCATTGTCCATTTTGATGTTCTTCGTGCAAGAATTGCTTCTTTGTTATTGATATTTTGTTGTTGTTTTTTTCGCCAGGTGGCAAGCGATACCATTGCTGTAATTCATCATGATATTGGAGAAGAAGCCAAAAACTGGGCCGACGACGAGTCTTAGATACTTAAAGAACCATGACAGACAGACTTAAGGAACCATGAAAGAGATTATGGTCGTTTAGCCTCATACTCTAGATGAAAGAACTGTTGATGATAAATGCGTTCAAATATGTAGCAGGAGTACTCATGGTGCAAATGATATGACTGCGCAAGGTAATAAATAAACAAATAAATAAAGTTATTCTGGTGTAATTAATGTCATTTAGTGGTGGAACTAATGGATGAAAGAAAATCGTATCATGAAAGATGAAAAAGAAGAGAGAGAATGTTACATACACAAAACGTATTGTTCAAGCAGTGGTTAAATTACGTGTGTCCTTGTCCCGATTTGAACCATCGTCTAATTTAAATGCAGAGACACGATACTTTACGTAATCCACATACTCTTATAATCAAACTAGCAAAAATAGACCCACTATGCTTATATAAATTTTTTTTTCAGAAAACGTAACTAAAAATAGCGGATTAGTCTGCAAATCTGACGCGTACGTGATATTTCTGATTCTACAAAAATAGATTCTGAACTACTACCTTTAACAAACTGTATATATGTGCATGTACACAAGATATGAAATCGTAAAGGGGGAGGGCCGTTACAGTATATATTTGATTTATACATTTACACATAATGGCAAAATAATGACTGGTATAGAAAACGACATACAAATACTCGTACGTAACAAGGATAGATAACAGATCCTGAATTTTAACATCCCTCTGCATAGTCAGTATTGCTCAGATATTGCCAGTTCATTTTAATTTCATTAACATAAATGACGACAGATTGACACCAAAGTATTGAAAAAGTATATAAGTTGGCATGTGTACGCAACGACGCGTATTTGTTTTAGTATTCTATAAGATATATATTGGTTTATTTCACACATACAATAAACAGTACAATTGGCATGTTTCACGTCGCAGCCACAGGCTGAATTGCGTGCACATACTACATATTACTTATTAAAATCATAATGCCGCAACTATTTAAAACCCTAGCTTATTTTCTTTTAAAAACTAGTAGAGTATATACAATGACACTAAATACAAGGACACTAAATACAACCTGTAGGCACAAAAGGACTGTACGGATATCCTACTATACAGAGTTGTTCAACAGTGTGACAAAGTATGGGATTGAGCTCTTTATATATCTTTATGTATGGGATTGAGCTCTTGATATACTCCTACAACTACTACTGTACACACACACAGGGTGTGATTAACATATACATTGCCCCTCCCTACCACTGTTAACGTTATACAGGTCTCTACTAGATTGATTCTTCTAGACTATTATGACAATGACAAGGAACTTTATTGCATATTCACGCCCTACATGGGCTAAATGCACTACGTTAGATGACCGAGGTATACGTTAGGGTAGGAGGAATAAGTGCTACTATGCTACGTCTATATCTACCTCTTCTCTCTTTTTGAAACAAGTCAAGCATGAACAAAGTTAAATAATAATTCATTAACATCGTAGTTCCTGGATGTCATAATATGTTTTAAGCGCAGCCTAAATGTGGTCATATATTAGTAAAGGGTGCATCATTTAACTGTTGCTATCTTTACTTCCATATTTTTCCTTTTCACTACTTCTGGTTAATTCCCATACTTGTCTTGAACATCAAAGATTTTCGCTTCATTCGACTTAATTTTCTAGCCTGGATATAATTTCTAGGCCACTTTTACATTCTCGTCGGTTGTATCCGCACAGTTTTTAACAGGTAAAGGTCAATGTATCCCGTGTACAGGAACAATGAGTATTTCCAGACTAATTTACGTAAATGACGTAGCGTTACCATGACAATGTTTTTTTTTTCAATATGAAATACCCATGAGTTGCAAGCCGCCGTGATGAATGTAAGCTTGCCACCAGGAGAAAGACCGAGTGTTGGTGACGGTTCCCTCTAGATGGGCGTTGTGAGGAACTTCCTTCTGTATTCCTTCAGGTGTGTGGGCCTTGTGAAATCTATCTCGGGTAAAGTCGGCCCAGCACCGGAGAAAGGCGCCATGAGTGCGGCGGACCAAGTGCCGGAGAAACTGGGCAAAGACGTGGATACGGACGGTACGTATGTACGGAAATTCCCACTGAATCAGTCATTCCCGTGTGCGTTTTCTTTTAGTATTTTTCTAGGCTCTGCGTTGGTGTTTGTGTATGTGCATGCGAATAATCAATGTACGTAAATCCGTGGGAGATCTGTTTCTGTTTCAATGACGCCAGAGTGAATGGTTTTCCTTTCCGCCATTTCCTGTTTTTTTTACCGTAGGAAAACATCCACACGTAGCTAGCAGAGAAAATTGTCTGAGTGACTTATGAATAAATATGCCTTCCGTGTGAGATCTGGTCCGTGCGTGTGTGCGAACTTCTCCTAGTGGCGTATCCGGGGGGCAAAACAAACAACCAAATATAAGATTTGGTGCTAAAAATATGTACTCGTACAAAAGAAAATACCAATTTGTAATAGTGTTATACTTCTATACCTATGCCTGGGCACGTACAACATAACGTATATATGCAAAAGAAAACGCATTTAGCCAATGAACAAAAGGGGTTTTATTACCTGACAATCCTAAAAACACTTTCATCCATTTTTTATCTCAGCCAAATGGATGAGATCTCAGCCAAATGGATGAGCAATTTTATGTCTCGTCACTAAATTTCTAGGACGCTGCAACGTTGTTCATGCCACACCACTGCACATGCGCAGCAATGCTATCTCCCACAGGACAAAGAAAAACATCATATTTATTCAACAGGTTTTTGTTTTTTTAAAACCTCTTGCGTCAGTGAAAAATTCGTCAGACAACGTAGAACATCCAGACGAATATACTAACACTAGATCCGGTGGATTAACTAAAGACGGGCGTACGTGAGGACTATACGTACTAGTAAAGTGTTGGTTTTGTAACTTCTGAAGCAGTCGGCGGTATATTGTTTCAATGTTGGCCATGAAGAGATTAAGGACTAAGAAGAGACGTCGGGATGTACAAACGTGGCTACAGAGTAAGTGGTGAATATCATTGAACGACATGAGAAGCATTTCAGAGCTGTGGGTATCCGGGAGTGTGGGTAATATTTGGATCGTGAGCGTAGACAGAACATCGATGTTTTCATTATCGTGAATTGTTTTCATCAATCAACAGTCGTTGATAAAGTCAACTGCCTACTTGTAACCCTTGACTGGTTTGAAAGTTCAGTTTTAATGTGTAATCTAGGAGTTGTTCTTTTGAAGTAATATGTATGTTATATAATTTTATGTATGTGTGTCGCCGTGTATGCATGTACCTATGTTTGTGCGTTGCATGCAACATTTCTGCATTTAGAAAACGCGGACCTTCGACCTTGCCTATTTCTGCATGTTGAGTAGTTGTCCTTGTTGTCCTCTGTATTCATAGCAAATAATTACATTAATAATAGTATCTATGACGTCTTATTCGTATAGGAATGCACTCTATGACTTCTACAAAAGCAGTTTTCAAAACGTCTGGCTGACGTAAATAAGGAATTAATATATTTGACTGTTTGACTTGCATAGCCTTTTTTGTACAATGTAAAATATTAGTACACATAACAGAATATACAAACGTTGGTACTTGTTGTTGTTTCGTTTCATTCCAAGCTTGTGCGAATCATTGTTTTGGTTAAATATCCATTTTTGAATTCTGAAAAAGAACATAATTTCTAGCTCTGAAAATTTAATAATTTTGAGCAATTACTGTATTGATTGCAGTTGCTCTTCAACAGTTACGATCAGCCTACTCACAGTTGGAACGTCTTACAAAATGCAAGTACCATAAGTTATATTTTCCAAAAAAACATTTATGCAAATGTAGAAATTTTTTTCACATTTTCGCCCGGGGCAAGATTGTTGCTAATTTCTTCTTTCTTTCTTTTTTATTTGCTGACGCTAAATCTATATTTTTCTAGTTTGTTGTCATAATCACAATAACTGTTATTGTATGTAATGACGATTGTGTGAGGTCGTGTGGCGTAACGGTAGTGTTCGCCTCGGAACCAAGAGGTCCCGGGTTCGATCCCTGCCATGCCTGCCACCGATCTTGTGCCCTTGGGAAAGTATTACACGACTTTCCTCACTTTCCGTGTTGGTAGCGGGATAAAAGATAAGTTTAAAAAACTGGAGTGTGTCTTGTGATTACATGTTTTGAAGATAAAATATGACGATTGCGTTTCTAACTATGATTTCGACGTGTTGCCTTTCCTTCAGTAACCGTTCCGGAGGTGGCTGCCCTGGGCCTGACCACGATGGTCCCGTCTAACAACCACCTGTCGCCCTGCCCAAACAACATGAACTACGCCGACATCGACTTTCAGAACATGCCTGCCATGGCAGCTAGACCGGCCAGGGACCAGGATGGCGACAACGGCGGGTCAGTCTTACAACTCATATATTTGTACGGCTTCATTCGGTAAACATATTGTTTTTGCTCAGTTTTATCCTCTTACTCTTCTTCTTCTTTTGTTCCAAACAAATAAGATCAATGACCAGGACCAAACGTCTGTCACCATGGTAACTGGTGTTAAGTTACAAGTTAATGTTGCAAGTGCCTCCAGAGTGTTCAAGAGTGGCTGCATAGTCACCATATATATGGCTGTGTTTGAGTAAAAATAAGTAATTTGTTAATCCGGGCCATAAAAAGGTACCTTTCTAGTTTTTGGCTTGAAACAACCGTAGTAGTAACTTACGGTTAGCACGATAGTACACATTTTCGCAGTGTGACGATGAGTTGAAGGTTATAGCGGAAACTGCGAACATGTTAACCGCCGGGAATACTTCAAAATCTACAGTTATATTCGTTAAACACCACATATCAAAATGTTTCAGTAGCTACGCCATAATTTTCCTCCTTTGCTGTACACCTGACTCTTGCTCTTTTACTCCGATAATGTATTTTCGTCTTTGTCCTTTTTTTCACTCGTCAGTTATCCAAGATGGCGGACTTTTTTGTTTTGGTAAACATTACATTTTGAAATGTCTACCGTTAGCATGATTAAATCACGTTTCAGACGCTCTTCCGCCCACTGAACAAAGGGGATTGCGAGCATTTCTTTCACACAGACTAGTCTACCCTGACGTTAATTATGTAACGTCTGAGCTTAAGGCCAGAGCAAGTAAATTTTATGGATGACATCACCGCGCGCATTAGGCCATGTTGATTTGATTATATGGATGACATCCGCGCGCGCATGAATTTTCGGCCGTTTCCAAAAAAAAAAAAAAAAGTTTTCAACCATACTGTAAATTGTGCAAAAAAGTTGCTAAATGAGCAAAAATATACCATAAGTTGCAAGGAAAACATTTAGAAACGATACCAATGTCGTAGAATGCCAAAATCAAATGAAAAAAGACAAAAATGTAAAGAAATGAATTCGAAGAGTAGATTATTCGCCATAACATACTCTGTGCCATTTGTTCAACCTTCATGACCACGTAGATTTCATAGTGAAAGCAACTTTTTTTTTTTTGCAAAACTTTTTTTTTATTCGCACGCGCGCATCAGTTTTGGGGCTCCCGGAGGATGTCATCCATATAATCAAATCAACATGGCCTTAATGTCTATTTTACAAGGTTGTATTTCTGTACATCACTACAGATTGAGGGCTGAAGACTTGACATCCATGTATGCAACAATTCTGCCCAAACATATGAGGTAGGTGGAATTTATTGAATCTCTACTCTAAGCGCTTTTTCTGCATATTTCATTGTCGCTTAATCTAAGAAATAGTTTGTTCTGTAACTACTAGTATTGGCATTAATAACAAATTGAGTGTACATGTTTATGAATCTGAACTGATTTGCATTGCTTTGCTTCGTTATGGAACTTAATGTGTATGGTTCTTTATCTTATGTCCATGCACAGGCCAAACAAAGGTGCTTCGGTAAGTATTGCAACAATCAATTTAAAAAAAATCTTTTTACTTTTAACATTGTGTGTCAAATGTGTGGAATAAGCAGAACAAGAAATATCTCTAATATTGTGTTGTACATGGTGTGCTATGACGTGAACTCCTTTGGAGACAAATCAAGTTGCATAAATAATATTCTCTTGGACAATTTCAATATTTGGTGAATATAAAGTCTTATAATATAAAGTAGCAATCATAACCACGTAGATTTCATTATGAAAACCAATTTTTTGCCAAACTTTTTTTATTCGCACGCTCTCATCAGTTTTGGGGTTTCCAGAGGATGTCACTCATATAACAAAATCAATATGACCTTAGTCAAAAAAGGAATAATGGGGAATGGTATTGATATTTTCGCTCTTCCTTTCTTGTGTAGGATGTGACACCTTTGGATGTGGCCCCCGCTGACCGGAAGCGCATGGCCATGTACAACCCGGAAGTGGACAACCACGACCCTCCCCAGGAGCCCAGCACCCCTCCCCTCCCGGACCGCACCGAGGACACCAAGGACAAGAACATCCCCGAGGTCACCACCACACCTCCGGACGACCTGGACGACTTTGATGATGAATTCAACCCTAATTATGCCAGGATTGATCTAAAGGTACCTTTATCTGTTATTTCATAGACACTTGTGGAACAGTCTGTTGCTTGAGTTTCAGGAAATTTATGGAATAACCTTTTCTGCAACTTTTTGGGGACATTTGACCTACTAAACTTCCGAACTAACTGTTAACTTCCTAACCAACTACGAAAACACAAGCAAACACACACACACACACACAAACAGACAGACAAAAGCGAAAAACTACTCAGGTTTCATTTTCAAGCCTCCTGGCATATTGTCCGTTTTTAGTGCTTATTTTTGATTATGTGTTTTTTTGTTGTATACATGTGAAAATAAACAATAAACAAACAATAAACAATGCTGACCTCCGTCCCCAGGACCTGGTCGGGTTGAAGCTGAGCTGTGACAGCGGCGGCGGCAGGAACAACAAGCGGGAGTCCACGGACAGCATCTCCGCTGACGAGGTGGAGGAGGAGGGCGCCTCCGCACCGGCAGACTGTCCTGTGAGTCGGCCTCTTTTCTTAAAGATTTTTTTTGGTCATTTTAGGTATCAGGGGTTTTAGCTAACTTTTTGTATGTAATTTGATATCCATGTATATACATTTTAGATATGCTTATATAAAGATATTTCATTTTCTGAAAGTCTTTTGAGACTCACTGACACACTGTCTGAGAGAGAGAGAGGGGGAGGGAGAGAGAGGGAAGGAGAGAGAGGGGGAGAGAGAGGGAGATAGAGAGAGAGAGAGAGAGAGAGAGAGAGGGAGAGATATATACTCGTAGACATTGCGTAGTTTTAGAATAGATCCAGGTCAGTTGCCGGACGTGACAATCTTAGTACATATTAATACTGTACAGCTTTGCATAATCCTCATGAATATATCTTATCAAAACAACAATTGAGCTACTGAGTCCATCATGATATGGGAAAGAACAAGGTCTGAATATCCAATAAATAATGCGTCCCGAAGAAAGCAATGAGATACTCAACTCGGTTGACGTACCTTTAGATTCGGGATAGTTGACTGGTAGTCGTCTATGGCGTCTTAGGTTAGAGCTGGCAAAACCAAGGCCTTACTGTGCCTGGTGGGGTAGCTGTTTACGGCACTCTACTGTGGTCTAAAGGAACAAGGTCTAGGATCCTAACCTGATAGAAATGTAGCATGCTGGTCCTCTTCAGTTGTCCTTCTCAAGAAATACAAATCATTTTTGGCTATCAAAATCTACTGCTTTCACCTTGTGGCAAAGAGCTTGATATTTCATACAGATTGTACAATAGGCATCGTTTTCTGTCAAAAATTTCCACCAGAAAGAGCTTTTTTAGAGCTACTTTACAACCCGAAGCTACGCATAATATCTACTTTGCCTCGTGGCTAACTTTGGGTTATATGATATCCCGGTTGCGTCATGAATGTTTTGCGCAATGGGGGACATTTTGACGGTAGTATCCATGACGTAACGTCACACATCATACCTGCAGCAGCACTAAATAGTCTGGTTCACTGGAATTCATGAATATTAATGAGCCACTATGATGAAAACAACACACCTATATGCGTATCATATCGCCCACGTCGATTGTGTTCAAAAGAAACAAAAATCATCGATGTACGTCTTATTTTAGATTTTCTGTGATGTTAAATATACGTTTCTTATTAGCTTTTTATAAAGTGCTAAAATTTGCAAAGGTTATTTATTGCCAACATTTACGTATTTTGTCTGCGTCAACAGCATTTCCCCTCTGACATTTTATCCGGACATTGCAAAAATGTATGCACATTCATAGGTTTCATCTCGTTGTGCTTTAGAAGGATGCCTTCCATTGACTATTCTCTTGGGTGAAAACTTTTCAGTTGCTTTTTAAAACTGCACCTCTCTTTGCACAGCTTGTATAGTTGTCCATGTGACGTGAATTGATATTTTGTGGTATCTACAAAAATTTCGATTCTGGTTCATACATGGTCATGACTCTTGATAAGATTGTTGGCAAAATCTTTTTTATATGCACAAACACATGGAAAAATACAATCACTGACTTTCCACAATTGCAGCTTGAAATATTTCCCTTCAAACACAGCATGTGTCGGGGTGTTATTGTTCTAAACTTCAAGTTCTTCCCGTCATTTGACAAAGGATAGAGCGTATTCTACATATAATTACACCCATAAGTTTTGATAGTGGAATATAATAAATTTTCATCCAAAAAGGCTAGAAATATAGTGCATATGACTTGTTCTTTTTCGTTCAAAATATGACGTTCGCTTCAGTTGCATATGCACACAAATCTATGAATTTTACATGAAAAGGCGACAAATTGGACCGTACGCTTCATCTTATAAATACTGAAAGCGGAAGCAGTGACTGAACGGATTTGCAAATGTATGCCACTGCTCACAATGATGGACATCACGCGGTATTTCAATCAGCTGGTGACGTCATCAGGGTGACGTAGCCATTACGTCATATGACGTGTACAGTGACGTGATATACTGGTATAGAGATCCCCTAGCACAGCAAATCCTTAGCATTGGTGGACTACACTCATAGACAGGGACTCAATGGTCCGGTTACAGCTAACATCGGTGGACACAAGCTTGGTTCATGAAATGTTCCTCGCCATTCATGAAAAGACAGGACGCAAGATGATGATAAAGGTATAATGATGTGCTCTTGGTCAGTTTTATATTACCCTTAAGAAGTTTATGTTTTTGGTAGCAATATTTTTTTTTTTGCTTTGTGGTTGAACAACATAATTCAAGAAGCTATGCATGGGTGAATTGTTATGAAATTTTGTATGTGATAAGCCTTCTCCTATCAAAACAATCGTTAGATTTTGGCCCCTGCCTTTGTTTTGGTATTGCCACACCTTACTGTTTCTGGATCTCATGTCATGGTCACGATTTTGTTTTGAAACGTGATTTTAAAACATGCTCATAATTTTTTTTGTCCTTGTACATGAAGGACACCCCTTCTACGAGCCCAGGACAGCAGAAACGTCACACGTACGTCAACATCAAACCAGATGGACACGCTTATGTCAACGTGGAACCCAAAAGTAAATCCAACCGGGTGAGTATTATAATGTCTACTTAAATATTCCTGTTTTAGAATATTCTATTCGCTACTGTACTCAACAAACAGTGAGTTACAACTTTGTTGGCTTTCATAGACTTTGGACTAGTAATGATATTTCTCAGTTTATTGGTCTTTTCTTTTGTGAACTTCTTGACAGACCACAATGCATTCTATTTTTACATGGTTAAAAACTTACATATAATAAGACCCATAGAAATGCAATAGAAACGACATTAAAGCAACATGTTCTTATCTTACTTTGATTCTAGGAGCCGAAAGGAGTCCTGTTCTATGCGGTGACAGACTATTCCCCCATGCAGATGCACCGGCAGGGCATTCCCCTGAAAGCCGGCGACGTTGTTGAAGTAAACACTCTCTTCTTTACATGTACATGAAACCTAATTGCATTGTAAATATAGTACAGAGCACAGGAAACAGCACAAGTTTTTGAAATTCAAACCAAAGAATGTACAAGTACATAGTCTCATCTCAGCTCTCTTCTAGCAGTCTTTTATAGAGCAGGCTATTTTTCTTCTTTGAAATTGCCACAACTTGTCTCTTACAAAGTTGTTGAGCATTACAATTATCATTATGTGGCAAGAGTTTAAAGAGACCTCTGTTGCATGGAAAGACAATGCAGAGGACATTTTCAATGTCTAACTTTATGTCATTTTCTATGAACTAGGTGTACAGTTTCGACCAGGACTGGTGTTTTGTGGTGTGTTACCCGAAGTCCTGCTCCAAGCCCATCGAGGGTTGGGTGCCGCGGCACATCCTGCGGGAGATGGGTACTCACTGCTGCGTCCCGACATCCCCTGGTAGGTTCTACATGCAGACAACATTGAACATCCGTAGCGCAAACATGCAGCGATAGTACATACTTGTATTTCAAAGCTTCCCTTTTAGCGCGACAAAGAGGTACAAGATTGATGCATTGATGATGTACGTGGTGGTACTGAAATGGATACTTCCCTTGGTGCTGAAATTACGGTTATCAATGGTACTGAAATATCATGCTTGATTGTTCACGATACTGAGATTGCGGTTCTTCTTTGCACTGAAATTGCACATTTTTAAGCATAGCTGACTTTGATTATGAGATGATAGGAATTTTCTATTTCCGCCTCTGATAGCTGCGGAGGATGCCCTGCCCAGCTTTGAGAATCTGAATCTCTCCGCTCCACCGACCAGGATCCCCGACATCAGCCGTGAGCCCTCCCCACACGGGCGCACCGGAGCCGAGGACGTCACCCCTCGGCACCAAAGGGAAGGCGGCCCGAAGGCACCCAGCACCATGGCCCCCTTCCAACCTATCGGACTCGAGCAGCGGAAGAGCGGCTCCTGCGAGAACATCAGTGTTAGCGGCATCAGCGCGGCTGACTCTACGTCCAGTAACTACGTCAACAAAATACACAAGTAATACTCCAGTTCTTTATCGTAACATTTTAACCTTTTCTTGTCGGTTCTGCCTTTTGGTAGCAAATGTGCGGTGACCAAAAGTTAAAGATGATGATGGTTTTACTGTCTTTCGGGCAATTTTACTATTGAACAATTGCCACAAGCACTTCTTCATATATCAAGAAGGCAGGGTCGGACATTCTGAACCATAAAATTCTATGATTTGTTTTCGTTTAGAGTTGATGATGATTGTAGATATCCAAAATTAATGCACATTGACTTATCAAATACTACGGTTTACAGTATTATAGCACTTAAAATTTCATGGCAAACCCTCATATTTTCCAACCCTCTGACATGCAGTTTTTGCCGTCTCGCCCAGGTGGGACACTGTTTCCGGTGTTGGCATCCCCCAGCCGTCCCCGCCCACACCCCGCAGGCTCGGCACCGGCGGGGACCAGAGTCCCTGGCACCACCGCAAGTTCGCCCCGCCCTCCCCGCCGTCGGTCATGGCACCTCTCAGCGGCGCATCCTCCCATGTAAGTGTTAGCAAAGCTTAGTACTCTTTTTCACTCGATTTAAGTGGGAAATGTGGCATGACGTGCCTTTCTGAAAGCGTAACACCTAGACCATTATGAATTCATCATTATGAGTTAAACAAATGATTCATTCATTCATTCGATACCAAATCTAAATCTAACATGTAGGTACACAACTATCAAAGGTTGTGCAATCGCATGGCCTTTGGCTTGTAATATACTACAGTTGTAAGGCTATACATTCTCAGAATTTACTAGGAATTAACAAAGGAATTGCTGTGCAACAAAGATGCAAATTCTATGGTTTCCAGTGAAAATCCCTCTTGCATCCCCAGTTGGCAGTAAGCGTTTTAGCTGTGTGATCATACGTACAGGACTAGGCTCATTCCGTGCGGCCCAAGGGCTAAGGTAACGGAGATGGGCGCCGCCTAGTACACCATGTGGTGCTAAAATGACGAGAAGTTTCAACTTTCTCTCCGCAGAGCCCTTACAGTGACGGGAACTTCGCCACAGTGGTGGCGGTGTGTGACTACACGGCGACGCTGGACGGGTGCATCTCGTGCCGTAAGGGCGACCACGGGCAGCTCCTGGACGTCAACTCCCGGGGCTGGTGGTACGTCCGCATCGGCATGGTGGAGGGCTGGGTCCCCGGGGACTACTGGGAGGTCGTCAAGGTAGGCTGTTGTTGTACTCTAGCTTTCTCGTGCGTTTCTTTAGCTTGGTCTATCTATGAGACCGTCTATTTACACATGTATGTAGGCAATGTTATAACTTGGATCTGTCCTTGGTGCTGAATTCACTGGTACAATAACTTTCCATTGCATATCCTTTCCAATATGCCGTAAAATATTTGTTTTGCACGCCAAAAACGCTTGGTCTTTTAATGAGACTATCTATCTGTGTAGGCAATGTTCTCACTTGGATCTGTCCTTGGTGCTGAAATCCCTGGTCTTATGACTTTCCATTGCAAATGCTTTATAATGTGCCGTAAAATAGGTATGTTTTGCACGCCAACAGGCTGCTGCTATACTCAAACATGGCCGGTAGACATTTAAGTTAGAATAAGTCAACCAAAAACCTTCATCTCCAGTACGATAGAGATCATACACCGGACATATTTTGATGAACGGTGTGAAGTGTACCAGTGTGAGAAATACAATAATTTGTCAATATTTTTTCTTCATTGTTTTTCAGCATTCTCAGCCCCGAGTATCGGGACACCGGGCTTCTCCCATTTCCCACTCCACCTTCAGGGGACCGCGGTATTTCACCTTCGGTAAGTTAATTATCATGTTATCTAACGTTTTTTTATGTTTACAAAAGGAAAAACATATTGTTTTTGCTCTGTTTCCTCTTCTTCTTCAAACAAATAAGGCCAATGACCTGAACCAGATGTCTGTCACCATGGTAACTAGAGTTGTGTTACATCATGCTGCAATTTTATAGCAGGAGGGATTTAGTCTCCTTTCACATTATGCATTTGCTTTGCAAATGTTACCTTTCTAGTTCAATGTAATTTTCAACACACAAAAAAGATAGTCGTACCCATAAGTAAACTATGGGACATGTATGTATTAAGTGTACTACTATTGATGAGGTCAATATTGCATGTTCCAGAGACGGAGCCCTGGTATCACGGGCGGCTGAGCCGGCATGAAGCTGAGAGCAGACTGCTGCGTTACGCCCGGTCCAGGGACTTCTTAGTGCGCCAGAGCACACATAGGGTAAGCTCAACTCTACATCAATAGTTAGTCGTTTCCAAAAATAGTTTCATCAGGTTGGTAAAGTACAGGATATAAGGGTTTTCTTTAACACAAACAAACGTTACATATAGCGGCTAGAAGCAGAACTCCAGTCAGAGCTCTGAAGAAGGTGTCTGATAGACACTTACGTGGAAAGTGCAATGTGTCAACATGATGCCCAACAATCATATTTAGTGACAGTTACTCATATTTTCAAAACACTAGTATCTATTTTTTAGGGTAGCTCATTGTAGCTATGTGTTACAGTATCTTCTTAATGACATGGACGTTTTTGTGATAACTTATTAAGGGTGAAACAGTCATAGATGTAATCAGAGTGTATGAACTATCAGAAAAGGCAGACCAGCAGTTTTAGTGCAGGTGCCATGTTGTAAGTGTTCTCTGTTTTATAGGAATAGATGAGGAGAGCTAAGATCTTGCATAGGTTCATCATTCATGTAACATCAACTATAATAATTCCATGGGGTACACTATAACTAATTTGTATGCTTTGAGGATTCCTGATGCTGCATTGTATAACTGTTTCAATCCGCCATCTATACAAATCTTACCAGGTGAAATCATGAGAGTTAAGTTCAATGAGGGGAAAAAACGAGTGTTGGGGTCGGAATAACCCCCTAAACGAAGCTCTCCCTTCCTTCACTCGGCACAGGTCGGAGACTTTGTCCTTTCCGTGCTTTTCTGTGACAAAATCCATCATTTCACCATAGAGACCACCGCCGACGGACGTTTCTTCATCGGGAAGCACTACTTCAAAGAGATGGTCAGCATCGTCTGTTACTACCAGCACAACACCCTGTTCTTCTCCGAGGACAAGGACCCCATATCGCTGGGACAGCCTCTCATCATTCCCTGCCGAGATTTCTGACCTCCCCCTCAGCACCTCCGACAGCGACACCGACTGGGACTGCTCCGATTGTTGAAGAATCACACGTTACCGAATCGAGCATGTCGGCAGAACGTACTGCACTTCGGCCGAACGTCCCATATAAGGTTGTATTCATGCATATGAGGTTAACATGCAAATGTTATGTCATAAAAGATATTGTCTGCAACAGGCAAAATATTGATGCAACGTTGACCAGAATCCAGCTAAAACTGTGAAGAATCGAGTTTCGCACAGGCGCAGTACGCTCTGCCTACATGCTACAAAATTGGAGGTCAATGATAAAGGTCATGCCAAAAACCTGGTTACCCATATAATGACTGAACCGTCCGCCTATCCTACATCTGATGAAAACATTTATATTGTATTTTTGTAATGCTTTGACATCCTATTAGGAATTGTGAATGTCCAAATGTGGATGTAAGTTCAACAAATAGCAGTGGATAAATATATTGTTTTAGTAAGTTTAGAGTGAAATGTTCTGTTTGCCTTGTTTGTAGTTGCAGAGTTGAAATTCATATATTAATATAAAGATTACCTATATAATACGAACATTGTATTAGCACACAACATACTTAAAATTTGTGACTTTGTGTTCTATTATTTTCTAAAAGTATTTTGAGCATTGTACATTCGTCTTTTAGCCACACGAATACAACTGCCTGGTTTTAGGACCTTTGGATAGACATATGAATACAAAATCTGTATTATTATATTCTATACATTGTATAATGAAAAATATTCTACCAGTTTCATTTCAAATGCGTAAGGATTGTAAAGTTTATGAAAGCAAACAAAACATGCAAAGTTTATAAAAACAGTGGATAAGCACTGAATGCATATGAAGTAATTGTAACAGATATGGTTTAGTTTTCAAAGTTAAGGTGTGTTGTGATGAAATATATTATTTCAATATCAATATATATACACCAGAAAAAATACAAGTTCATATCTTGTAATACTTCAGAATAAAGATGGTTGGCTTAAAGAAATTGTGAAGCATTTTATTCATGAAAAAGTTCATAACTAAAAATGAAGTAGCCATTTTGAACTTTAACTTGCTAGTGAATAACATTATACTTCTGAATAGCATTAGATCATATCAAAAGAACTCAGTATGATCTAACACTGGAGTTTTATATGCCAAATATGACATGGCTTTCCTCATACACTATCCTATATATAGATATATATCAAAGCGTCATGATCAATATGAATACACCTCTGAAATTAGTTTTGCACATGCACCATTCTTATGAGTATAATACACATGTATTTGAATATTGAGTTTTTAAAGTAACACATACTGGTGCCATTATTATACCTTGTAGCACCAAAGGCACTTCTCCTTAAATTCTAAAGCATTGGTCTCATTCATTTAATCTTAAATAATATGATCTATTTTGTAGCAGTCAAGGCCCCAATTAGAATCTGTCTCGCATTCTAAATCATACACTTAAAACACAGCAAATTTTCCTAATACTGTGAAATTCGAACCCTACAAATTGACAGTCCTTGCCTCAGGATTGAATGTTATCAATTTCCCCCAGCCTTGTTAGAACTGCTTTAAAATAAACTATCGCTGCCACCAAGTATAGTATCTGTATCCTCACTGAATAGCTTTAAACAATGTTTAGATTTAAAAGTTCAAAGGTTAGGTGTAACAAATTCTTTGGTGTAATATAAACAGCGACCGCTGCGCAGCGTGCCTGCGAAGCTGATGTGTTATACCGAAGGGCAGTTATACTAACTTTACAGATAGTAGTGAATCACAACACCATTCATTTGACATTAGGGCATGTCTTTCACAGGCTACCTGGACCATGGAATGCACTTTTACAATCATCATCATTTGAAGTTTGGTTTGTACTAAGTGTTGACTCAGGAACGTAGAACGTTGTACCTTCTCAGTGTCATGCGCACAGAACCCAGCTCCTTCAGAACTTTGTCTAGCCTGTCTTCTAGGGCCTCCTGACATCAAAAGATAAAAAAGAAAAGAAATTGTTTACCAACTAGTTAAAGATTAGGATGGAAGCATTATTACATTATCTTTCATTCTTACTGATTAGCAACAAATATCTGCGTATTCCTAGTCCAGTACACTTTTTTCAGTTTGTAACTTCTCTGCTCTAGATTGAAATATAAGAATTTGAATGATTTTCAGGTAACTCTCCTTTCTTTCAAAGTTTTTTTTCAGAGTTTTTAAAAGTTTTATTCAAGGACAAAAGAAAGGAAGGTAAAGGCTTGCACCATGGCACAGCTACTAAGCAATGAGAAGCAGTTTTAGAAGAAACATTAATTTTAATTTAGAAGCTAAGAACTTAAAGGTACCTGATCCAGCTTGAGTTGCCTTGTGAGCCTTGGTCCTGAGCTGGGAATGCGACTGAGGGAGGACTCCAACTGTTCAGGACAAAATGAACAGGTAAGCAAATGTAATTCAGGATGTTATATACGTATGAAAATAAATTACTTCAGATACAAATTTACATGTACAACTCAAGCAACTAAAGATACTTTACCCCAATCACACAATTAGAGACTGACAAAATCACCCATACTGCTTTCTGGTCAGAAGCCCACAGACACACAGACACACACACACACACACACACACACGTCTTATGAAACTTAGGATAAACTATCCAACCTGTCTTTTTTCCTCGTTTAGCTCATCAAATCTCCTCTCCACATCCTGAACCTTGGCCATCCTCTCCCTCAGGGCATCATCTGTGTCATAAGGTGGTCTTACTGGGGATGGTCCTGTTGGCAGACAATGAAGAGTTAAACTTTCCTTAAAGTGATAACAATATATTATTTTAAAAGCATTTTGCACCTTTACTGCTTACAATAAGTAAAAAAAAATGATAAATTCTTAGTCAACAAATGTTTCTCCACACTAACTCTAACTAGTTTGTCTGTTAGTAGACCATGTGGAAGTTCTTTCTTACTCTTTGGAGTCTTCCTGTCAGTAGCTAGTGTGGTACGTTTGTCCTCCCACTCAGGGCGCGACGTCACTGTACCAGACTTCACCGCTTCTACTGCTGACGACACACGAGGGTCCACCAATGTACCTGTAGGGGGAATTTCTTACAAGTCATCATCTTGTGAAATACTCAAATCATGCAGGATTTGTTTGTTTCAACTTAATTCAAAAACAGTTCATTGATTAATTAAAAACATCTGCATCCACAAATTTTCGTTGCAGTTTTATGTGTTGAAGCATTTTGTCCCAAAGACATTAAGCACTTTTTTAAGGGGAGCTGAATTTTGCTAAACTGTAACTAAATCAGTAAAGCAGGCCTTCCTTCTTTTCACTATTCATGAAGCTCAAGCATACAGAGAACATTTTTTTCATACAGTTATTACATGGATACAATTTAGATACAGTATTGACAGCACCTACCTTGTTGTGTTGGCGTAGTGAAGTGAAGATTTCTCCGTAGTGATGCTCCATTGTCTCTAGTGGGCACTTCTACACCATACCTGTCTTCTCTTTCATTCTCTTTGCCCAGAGGTTGGAACTTGGGTGACAGACTTTTCTTTGGGCTTCTGTTCTGCTGAAGAAAATGACGAGACATTGACTATTATACATATTACTTGTATGGTGTGGAAGATGATAGAATACTAACTACAAACAAATATATGAATCCAAACAACATTTTGTTCAATCAAACATAATATCCTGACACTCAGAGTTATGGAAAAATCATAATTCTGTTCATTAATCTATAGTAGGAACCAATATGACACATACCTTTCCAGAGAATCTGTCAGTGCCTCTGCCCTGCCCAGTTTTGGGTGGGGTCTGTGTTTGTTGGTTCCTCTTGGGAGTTCCTGGTCGGGCTCTCTTTGGTGAGTACCTCGGTTCTCTATGTTTAAAGAGGTGACAGATTTTGTTAACAAAAAATGAGTAAACCCTGAATGGAACATAAAGGACTCTTTTAATGGAAAAATATGCTATTGATTGTCATTCAAGGCAGCAAATGATTTGTTACTGTAAGAAATTGAACACAAGCTTAAAACTCGACAAATGAAGAAAGCATGTTCACAATGAGGTACAAAAAGCAAGAACTTTGCTACAGTACTATAGACAGGTGCTAGGAGGCCCATAATCATTTTTTTGTCAAGACTGATCGACTGGCATACCAAATTTTAATTAACAACCATCAATATTCTTTGGAGTCATACTGCTAAACTGCTAAAACAACCACGAACATAAAGACAAACAGTACCAAAAACAAAGGTAACAAAAATACTTAAATAGCAAGGATAAAATCAGGAAAAAGTGCCCGCAACCTATATGTTCTTCTGTCATCCTCTGAGTCCATCATTTCACTGGACGTCTCATCGCTGCCGTACCGTTTGGGAGACTTCTGTTGGGTGGGGTCTTGTTTCCTCCTGTCCAGCTCGATTGCAGCTTGGATCATGGGAGATAGGGGGCGTTCTGCTTCAGCCTGGAGAGAAACAACAGTGAATTCATTAACACCGAAATGTTGCAACATGGTGAAAATGAAAAATTAACAGTGGAAGACAGACAATTCATTCACAAATGTGATGAGTTTTTTGTGTGAAATTTGCTGTGAAAGCTCACCATAGAAACCTTGAACACATGGAAACAATAAAAATGTCAAAATACAGAATTATAGTTGTTAGAAGCTATCAAGGCCACCAGTGCAGCACCAAAAGTGTCCCTTCATTCTCCTTCAAACTACCAAACCCTTACAGTGATGAATTACAGGTTACAGAAAAATGTCTATTTCTACCAGAATTTAAGAATGCTCTCCTATGCTGACTCTCTCTTGACATTGCACTGGACTTCAATGATTCAAGAGAACAGCTTTGAGGAGACTATTAGTAACCGGACTGATAATGAGCTTAGCGGATGATGTACCTCCTGTTGTGTTCCCTGTGGTGCTGTGTGGATGTAGGAGGGGCTGCGGTCCATGGGCTCTCCTGTGAACACGTTGTGCTGTGTGCTGGGTGCCAGCCACCTGCGGCGTGCCGTGGGGGACGAGAAACGCCCTCCTGAAGTACTCAGGGTCTGCTGGATTTCTGCCAGGCTGGGGAAGAACAGACACTCACGGATCACATTTACCTCTGCCATTACATGTAAAGAAAACTGGAGTCATCCTGACTTACTATGACTCAAAATCCTTCTAAATTTATCTTGTCTTGTTACTGGTATCTTGTTTAAGAAACAAGCTTGATAAGCTATTTCTTGTACTGGAGAGTGAAAGCTACTGCTGATCATATTTATACGTTCTAACAGTGATTGAATGCAGACCTATATGGAGGACAACCACAGTTCATAGTACATACATGTAGATCTGAGAATCCAGGACCCAAATTTGCATCCAGAGCACTTTGTTGTATCTGTATCTGTATAGCCGGTATAACCGCTCTTTGGCGTAACACACCAGCTTCGCAGGCACGTGGCGCAGCAGGAGTATTGGAGGTAACTGTTAGGTGATTTGTTAGTTGTTGGTAACTTTCTATATTGTCTATCTATGATCAAGACTATGTGCACAAAGCAAGTCTGGTGTGTATCTGAGTAGTTGACGTGCAGACTCACGTGATAGACGGAGAAAGACCCTTCTCCCTCATCAGGTTGTTCTCATGTTCCACCTGCTTCAGCTGGACCTCCAGCTTCCCTATTGCCCTGGGGTACAAACATTGTCATCTTCACTACAGTCAGCAGTCCAGATTCTGAACCACAATGTCAGGATTCAAATCCCACAATGGCAAGTTTCTGTACCAATGCCAATTTCATGTGATTCTACCCCCACAGAGACCAAACAATACAAAATTACAGTATGCCTGAGATGGTTAAAAACTAAAATCTACATGTATGTACTAGTATACTAACCTCTTCATCTCCACCACCTCTGACCTGGCATCAAACAGCTTGTCTTCTGCCTCCTTTAAAGCAGCCTGGGGGTACAAAGAAATGATACAATGTTACAATAACAACTGCACTTCTCAACATCTCCATAATTATGCTAGAATTGAGTTTATGATCTCTTAAGTCCTGCTTGAACATAAATGTTAGAAGAACAAGCCAGCAGACTCTTTAAAACATCTTCTTCTACTCCTCTCATGACACTCAAAGTCCCTATAAAGTATCTGTGTTTCCCTCACCTTGGTGCTCTGGTGTTCTCTTCCTAAGGCTCCATACTCCTCTACAACCTGTATTCAAGACAGCAAAAGCCATGGCAAATTAGACTACGTACAATAAAAAGCATTGTCACTGAGAAACCTTTGAAACAATAATCCTGATTCTGCAATATCATTAAAATTAACACATGCTGTGAGAGCAAGCAGTGTGTTGAAGCATTAATTGTAACTGAAAGTCCTGTAGTGCAGTACATAGAAAATGAATCTGACAGAGGTTTAAAAACTAGCAGATTATATACCAAGTTTTAGTATCTTTCAGCGACATTTGGTTCCTGATTCCAACCTTCATTCCATTTAAAAAGCCATGCACTATGAATTTTTAATCACGTAATGTTATATGTTAGTCACAGAACAGCGAGCTGTTGCTGTTCGAGTGTAGGCTTATACATGTATATGCATCTGCCACCTTCTACTCTATTTTCATGGTTTTGTTACCTTCCGCATTAGGTTTTGCTCAATCTCAATTGCAGATGCTCTCATAGCATCAGCCTGAAACAGGTGTGAACCAGGGAAAACATTTACTATTATATTTCTATATTACTCACAAACATTTCAAATAATTTGATACCTGTGCTTCAGTATGTTATTTAATTGTAAGTATCTGTACCTGTATAGATTTTATGAGTTAAGCTGGACTATGTAATACTTTTAGGATTACAAAATGTATTTGCCCAATTGTTTTATTCTATCTTTTTTATATTTTGTCATTGGTATTTCAAATGCTGTGTTATACATGTATACTGAAAATCAATTAAGTTTGCTGCAATCAAATTTTAGGAGAATCAAAAGTTTTCAGTATAAGAGTTTGTGGTTGAATTAACACCAAAGAAGACAGAGGATTATGTTTGCTGCAAAACATAAAACTTAAAAACAGAGAAAAATGTCCAGATTTCAGTACCTTCAGTGTTTCTTGCATCTCCCTTTCCAGTTGCCTGTTGCGGGTCTCTAGTTTGAGGACGGTGTCGGCATCCATGGACGACTGTCTTCTCGTCTGCTCCAGGTTATCCTGAAGGACCTCCACGGTACGCGTCGTGTTCTCGTAATGCTCCGACCATTCTGTCTGTAGCCAATAGGAAGGGTAGGATTACAAAGTTAAGTTAATGTACCATCTAAAAAACATTTTGCCATGTGCAGCAAATGACTATGGGGACCATGTGCAGAAAAGGTGAAAAGAGGAGCTTTCCAGAGCTAGTGCATTTTGTTACATTATCCCCCGTTTCCAACACAGCAACATGCACGTGCACATGCACTATCTCTCTCTCATTCACACACAGCAAACAACAAATATGCAAAATTTGCACCATAATGTTTTGCAGCTTAGATAAATAAATACACCATGTGAAAGCCTACTAGTAAATGTATATGGGAAAATTGTGGCATCCTCTAAAAATATCTACGCCTCTTCAGTTGCTAACTTATTACCGGTTTGGAGTTCTGTTGGAAAATGCAACCTGTGTGATTGCATGTTGGTAGTGTAAAGTCTTCATGTCCTTCTGATATCTGTACACGTAGCTTCAGCAGCATAAGGACACAGTCAAACACTGGTTAGCGTTAGCGTTTAGAGCAGACAAATAAAACAGACAAGTAATTTATTGGCAGGATATTTGGAATATGATGATGATGGCATGAAGAAGATACATAAACAAATAGATAAATTTAAAAAAAAACTATTTAGTTACCAGCTTTCCTTGAAGACTATGAAGTTGGCTTTCCAAGTTGTGGATACGGCTAAAAATGAAAAAAAAAAAGTCATTAGAGACACATTTAAAAAAGCCATCTCTCAAAGTTTTGGGGGTTAAGATCTGTAACTTTTCTTGGATGTAACTAAGACACATAGCAACAATTGTTCCTTTAAATTTAATGATTTTTATTTGTGCACAAAAAATGGACTACTGGATAGGTAAATTGAATAGTTTGTCCAAATCTAGCAATTAGTAATGTTTCAATTGGCACAGAGCCTGTCACATTTCTTGTCAACTTTCACTTGGCATTCAAAAGGCATTCTAACTTTCCAGCAGATGTGAAGAATGTGACCATGATATTAACTCACACATGAGACTGTTGTGCCTGTTCCTCAGCCTGTTGACACCTGGTGCGGAGCCTGTTGTTGGCCTGTACCAGCTCTGTGTACATGGGAGAGGACGTGACACTGTTCAGGCTCTGGAGCTGAGACTGCGACTTTTCCAGTGATGACAAAGTGGACTCTAACTCACCAACATGTCTGCAACAAAAAACAGGATTTTGTGTAAAATAAGTCAGGTTAACAGGTACAGGAGTTTATTATTACTAGGTGCAAGACCAACGCCTGAGTAAGTTTGGCTAATTATTAGCATCTTCTACATATGGTAGATCAATTCACTTCGTCAGCAAAACCAAGCAATTAGTAACTTAACTTAGAAAATTTGGGTGAGTCCAATTTTTGTTGTGTTGGAAATCACAGTTCAATCGTCATTTCACTTTTTAGAAACGTATGTTTATTATTCAATTTCCTGTACCTGTTGGCATCTGCTAGGGCCTTTTCAAGCTCTGCAACTTTCTGTCTAAGCCGCTCATTTTCACTCATGATGTTCTCCACTGGTACAGAGGGGGGTGCTGGTGACTGCTGTTTGACCTCCATAGACTGTACTGTGTTCTCTAGGTCCTGGATTCGACTGGGACAGAAACCAGAGTACATTTGGTCAAGCAAACACATGTTTGTTGTTTTCAATTGTGAAACTTAAATCATGTCTAAATATAACATAAGTCAAGTTACTCTTGATTGCTGCAAAGTTGAAGTCAATCCCAGCTCACCCATTGGCTGACTGCAGGGTCTCCTCCAGGTGTTCACACCTCTCCCTCAGCCTCTTGTTCCCGTCCTCCAGCCTCTTGTAAGGAGACTGGTTATTGGCTCGCTCCAGCTGGCCGCGCAGTTCTGTGATCTCCTCCTCGTAGTATGCCCGCAGGTCCGCCATGTGGCGAGCGTGCTTCTCACGAAGGTTAACCCGAATGCTACAAACCAAAATCATTTCTCGTCAATTGTACAGATAGATCAATTTCTGTTAAGTTCTATATCAGCATTTCAAAAGCCATTAATGTGATAAAATGTACATGTTTTACTTCATTATCTACTAGCAGTGACACAGCTATTGGTCAGAAGTCCAGATGAAAGGAAATATGGAGAATACCAAAAGAGATACTCCAAGATGAGAGAAAGCTGCTCAGGAGTGGGAGTTGTTCTGAGACAGCACAGGTGAGAAAGACAGGAAAGAACATTGCAATAAGATTTACCGTAGTGGTAGAATTCAGTATATATAATAGTTTCATTTTCATGAACTTGACTGTGTCCTGATACTAAACAAAAAACATGTATATGTGTCTGTTTTCTGTAGGCTGTGATTCGTATTACATTTATATTATCATAATACTGAGCCTGTATTTTGTTACCTTTCAAAAATGTAAGTTGTTAGAATTTGTTTCTGCAAATTGCAGGTTGGTCACGATTTAGAGCTCTAATGATGACATTGACAGTAAATTTGTCCTATCTTTTCATTATCACATGACACATTTGAGAAGTAAGTGCGGGTTACTTTCTATACATACATGTAACCTACATGAATATTTTACATGGTCCCAAGGGGAACATCAAAAACACCTGTGCTTTACAAAGCTACGGCCAAGCTAAGGTCACCTAACGGGAGCAGAGTCCATTGTTCCCACACAATGCACATGTACACGTTGCTGCGTACAAAAGACCATGTTTGCCTAAAGGTCTATTACGCTATGTAGTCCCTAATACTTTGTCAACAAAGGCATGAGAAAAGGTTTTAACCGTCAAAAATACTTACTCCTTGTCTGCTTCACTGGTGAGCAGTTGGAAAGGTTGATCAAAAAGTTTTAAAACAGACACATTAACAATAAATTGCCAAACAACACAATTAGTAATTAATCATGAAAGCATCTACAGGGCTGGGAGAAAACTTGAAGTTGAATATATCTGTATTCACTCTGTAAAACTCATTGTGTACACTGACTAAGGTATAAACCTGGCCCTGTTTTCATGTGTTTTTCTAGTTAAGCTGCCTGTCTAAATTCAAGAACTAACATTTGAGGTGGCCTAAACTAAAGAGGATTTGACTAGTACAAATGGACAAACAATGTACTAACACTGATGGATATACCCTTCAGAATTTCACATACACAGTGACAGTCCACAAGGCACTTACTTTGATGCCACTACTGGATCCTCAGGAAGGGAGGGATCCTTGGCCGTTCCCATGCGATCTGAGATCATGTCCACATCCTCCATGGTAGCCTTCATTTTCTCATGTCTGTCTCGAAGCTCTGTCTTTAATTTTGTACCTTGAGGAGAAAAAAATAATAAAGAAAAAGGTACTTGTTCAACAGCTCAAAGATCAATTGAAATCATAATACATATTTGATTAAAAAGTATCTTAACAAAGTACCAGCAAAATGTATGCCACAAATAATCTTCTATTTTCTAATAAACTAATATTCATTTGTTTATAAAATTGAAAAACACAAGACCCACCTGGGGTCATCTGTGCAACTGTCATTGGATCAGGTGGCAGTTGACCCTGGGATGGAGGCTGCCTTTGGACTTCAGTACCCAGCTGGGAATGAGCCTGTACTCCAGGAGGATGCTGGGATGGTACTACCGCCCCCGGAGGTGACAACTCTACCGATACCTCATTCAACATCAGGTCATCCGGCAACTTCTGGTACAAATCGTTTTCATCCATCTTCCAATACGAGAAGCCTGAACACACTGTTGTAGATGGACTTACACTTTCCATTGGCCCTGCTGGTAGAAACTCTTCTGTCACGGAACCATTCTCGCCTATTTTTAGAATCTGTGCATCGTGAGCTGGGTACCGACTAGATGGTGTACTCGGATAAAACTTGTTTACTGGTTCCTCTTTGTTCCTCATCTTTATAGAATCATTTGGTGGTTTCGGGTCGTCCCTTGACTTCTGTTGAACAGATTGTTGTCTCTTTGACCAAGTCGTTAAAGGTTTTGTGAGTTGAGGGTCTGTTTGGGGTTCCCGCAAGGGCCACTGTGCTGCGATAACCTCACTCTGACCGTGTAGCCTGTTTGTTTCACGCTGCTTTGCTTTGGGCGTGTTGGTAGTTGAAACGCTGGGAAAATCTTCATCTTCGTCAGTAGCATCAGTGGCCTGCATCCTTGGTACACTTTGTTGAGAGAAAGGCTGTAACCGATTGATTCCGGACTGTTATCTTGCATTTTACTTGTCTGCCTTGAAATGTTTTCTAAGCTATCTGCAATATCTGTGGCACTGCCGTTAAGTTGGTTTTCTGGGATAGGCGTGATTGAAAATTGCTCTTCCTTTGCAGGACTCCCACGGGAAGACCCGATCCCGGAGCTGTTCTTCCCTCCGCTGTCGCTCCGTCTGTCCTGCCTCAGCTGGTGGTGGAGCATTTCTCGCTCGATCTGAACCTGGATGTGTCGGATCTGACGCTGATGAGCTTCCTGCTGGGCCAGCATATGTTCCTGGTGGCGTATCTCCATCTCCTGGAACAGCTGTAGCCACCGCTCTTCAAGCATCCTCCTCCTCCCCTCCCCTTCATGTTCACTCATCTTGTCCACGTAAACGCTCATGGTTTCCAGGGGCCACGGGGTGACAGGGGAATGACGATCAAAACTTAGCGGACTTGTCCTGTTGTCCCAAGGACTACCGGATAATCTTGTGTTTCTTGCTGTGCCGGTATCTTCAGGAAGTGACCTCTGTCCTTCCCTGTTCCCCTGTCCTCCATCTTGTTGTAACGTTACATCCTCTTTAGGTTCACTTCCTGTCTGTGAGACTGTGTCGCTGCTGGCCTTACTTGCCATTTCCACCAGCCCACTGTCTTCCTGTCCGTCCTCGGTACCAGCGGCTTCTGTCTGCAAACTTTCACCCTGGCTTGTGGCTTTTGTCTCGGTGCCCTTAAGACCCGCAGTGCCGTTAGAACTCTTAAGTTGCTCAATCCCTGGATCGCCATTCTCTGCACTAACGACATGACCAGCTGTATTTGCAGGCGTTTTTGCCGAGGAGTTTGCTTCTTCTCCTAGCCCTTCGACCGTGACGTCCAGCGGTGTTGTGAGCGGATTTTGTGAGAGAAAGCCGCTGTCTGTGGTTAAATCGCCGTCGAATGGAGGTTTAGCATCAGTAGCAGCTGCCATGTCGTTATCTAGTGGCAACAGGCGGTGGATGTGAGGAGAATCGTTCCGCCTTGGGCGCTCCCTGCGGCGTGAAATTATCAGACGACTTTTTCCCTCAGGATTTGCGGAGGGGGAGGGGTGCGTGAATCTATGGAAACACGAAAGAAAACCCACAAAATCAACACCTCGTATGCTGGAATCCCTAACTATTAAGTCAACCATATAATCCTAATCAGTTGATAAGTGACAGAAAACAAATCAGACGACACAATAAATGTTAACTACCACAATTTACAACACAAACACGCAGCTGTTTTCACAGCGCCACCTCGGCGTGACTGTTTTTCTTTCACTGAGTTTCAGCCCCGCTGAAGTGCCACCAACGTCCGTGACACATGCATTACAAAGCCTGCATCGTTCACTAGAAATATCGGACCGTAAAGAAGTCTAGAGCCCACCTGTGACCAAGTGAAAGGGTGAAGTTTTCAAGCACCACTGCACGAGCACGTCTTTCAGCCGAGCAGCCGCCATTATATTTGCAAAAGAGCCCGGGGCGGGACTATAACATGTCTTGAAACTTAATCCGGCCACATGATTGGTTGTTTGCTAAAGCTCACAGCCAATCAAACTGCTTGAAATCTGGTCCTGTCATTTTTTTCTTCTCGACTAGTCTATAATGATAGACATCATGATAGGAGTCTTTTTGCAAACTCTTTCGAAAGTCAAAATATTGTTTCTCTAATTTCTGAAACGATGCAATAGAATCACATATGATTTCTTATTTCTTATAACACGACTGGTATATTAGAATTTTATAAAGACTATTGCGTCCCCTTGTGGAGTATTGGTCTCACCTATTCAACTTTGACCTGCAAGATGGCTGAAGATGGTTAGAAAGGCACTGCAATCAGGTTTTTGAGCAATTTACGTGCAATTTTCATTCTATTTGGACAAATTGGTAACATATTATTTACAGATAGCTGCTGAAGATGGCCTCAATTATCATTCTGGCTAAAAATATACACCGGACACCATTGTTCTATACTGGTTTACGAAGGCAAACGTGGTCGATGTCGGCTTGTCAGTTGCAGTTGGTCAAGCAACAACAACATCCACACATGTCAAGATGTTTACAACAATATTCCATTCGCTGGACAAGCACTAGAAAAGAACCGAAGAAGAGTTTGGTCGAATTAGTTGAGTCAGAACTAGAAGAGAGTTTTCAGCGCGGTTGGGGGCCCGGAGGACAGGCAACCAACAAGACCAACAACTGTGTACTGCTGAAGCACGTTCCGACTGGCATAGTAGTGAAGGTAAACCTTTCTTTACTTTGTAACTTTCAAGAATCAAACAGTGCATCGTGAATACATGCAGTTAGTTGCAAGGTATTACAATATTTGATTTTACGGCTTTGCAAAACTGCATTTTTCTCAAGCCGCTGGCAATCTTGGAAGATTACTGTGACAAATTTGCAAACAAAACTCGAGTCAGAAGAAGATAACTTTTTGATTTAATTGTATCGTATTGCATTGTAAATGGAGAAGGATGTATGTTTGGCACAAATACATACAATTGAATTGACCATCATTGTTGTCGAATAAAACCAGGAAATGTTATGCTATTGTGTCATGACTTTATTGTCCACAAATAACACGTTTTCTCTCAACTTTTCTCACCTGTCACAGTGCCATCAGACCAGGTCCTTGGATGAAAACAGGAAATTAGCCAGACAGCACTTGAGGGAGAAACTGGATCTACATGTGAAGGGAGAGGAGAGTGTGCTGGTCAAGGAGAAGAAAGAACTTGCCATCAAGAAAAGAGAGAAACGAAAAAAGGCCAACAAGAACTTGGAGAAGAAAAAGGCCTTCAAGCAACTCCTGCAAGAATGTGATGATGATGTGTAAACAGAACTAAAATGTGCACAAGGATACAGAAATGATGAAACAGACTTACAGTCACATGCAGTTGTGAACAACTAAAAGTCAATGAAATAAGATTATCATGATGATGTACTAAACTAAGTACTAGTAGTCCTATTGTCCTAAGTATGTTTTGAAGCTCTGCAGAATACCAAGTCATGATATAACTTTTTTTAGATGCGGTGTAACAACTGTGGTCAAAGACTACAGTTGTTTGACTGTAGTCTTATATATATATATATATATATATATATGACTTATAAGTTATATGCTGCTGAGAGAGCTTAGATGTTAGTTAGATCAAACTGGTTCTTGTTTATAATTTACTAGTACTGTATCTCGAAGAAAAGCATGTATAGTTTTAATCAAAGGCTCTGTAATATTTAGAGGAACAAAATGATATTGGTATTACTAGACATTAAAATGTCAGGCTAGTAGTATTTGATCGATCATCTGATGATGAGAAGAATTACTATGTACATCCACCATGAAATTATGCTTATGACAATAAACCTTGCTCAGACAGTAGTGATTTTGAATTCATGATCATGGGAATTGCAGATGGCTTCTATTAACAGATGGAATTCACAAGGCTTTCCATCCACAGATGTGGTTGTGTTATGAACAGTAAAAGGGCTTCCGAAAATAGTTTCATCAGGTTGGTAAAGTATAGGATATAAGGGTTTTCTTCTACACAATTGTTCGTACCTTGCTAACATTTCGGTGACACCTTCCACAGAGCTTCTGATTGGAGTTCTGGTTCTCTCCGCTATACATGTAGCCGATATATAATAGGTGGCGCTTTGCGGAACATGGGTGGGCTGCTAGAAGTGTGATTTATGAGTCAGCCTAATGCATATGGCAGGATGTGGAGATGCCTCGAAAACATCTCTTACTGACAAATACACCCTCCTTTTCTCAATCCACTATGAAGGGTTTGTACTACAAATCTCAAACAGGATTAGGATAATCTGAATTACACTTTGATGGGATATCTCAGCTCATGACAATATGCAGAGTGTCTAATACCAATTTGAGATTTCATTAATAAAGAATCATTGAAACAAACGATACTACCCTGAGCATGTGTGAGGGAATGTGAATTGCTTACTCCAAAAAACATACAGTTAGATTCATGTATCACTGTATTCCCCAAAAGACACAAGTGAACAAGTCCAGACACAAGATTTGTAGATGTAAATATGGTTTACTGATGTTAAAAAATGTGCCAGCACGGTGTCCATGCTTCTTGTCTTTGACCAGCTCAACATTTAGAGCTACCTGAAGTCTCACAATGCTATAATGTAATACTATACAAAGTTGCACACATAATTTAACACTACACTATACTTTACCAGCACTAATGGTGTTTTGACTTTTGGTAAGAATCAGTGACGAAGACTTATTTTCTTGGTCCACATTACAACATTCAGTAATGGCAGAATACTGTGTGACAAAAACACACCTTTGTCCTGCATACACTTCTTATGTATTACGGTACTGTGCTTGGATTTGCTTTGGAACATTGAAAGAAATTCAGTGTTTTGTTATAAATAAACTTAAATATTTTTTACGGTGCAGATAAATCAAACACATGATTCTTGAAGTTACATGGTGTGTAACAAGCTGATAATCCTTCTAACAGAACTTGTTAATACATGTGAAACTAGGATTGTTACTACCACATGAACATTTTACTTTCTGGTCTTTTCTAGTTGACATCACTGAATACAATTCTAAGACATCTGTACATCCAAAGTACTGTCAGTAAATAGTCAATGTTTGCATGGCAAATGCTAATGCTAGTAATGCACTAGCCAGTCCAGTTCAGTTCAGTTCTGTTTACTCCGTCAAGATCGTTGACTGCGCTCCATTTCCATGCGACACTCTCGTACCAACGCCCTTGCGTGAATAATCGCTGCGGGAGGAAGACGGGGAAAGAAAAATAAATAGGAGAAAATTTCTTTGGCGGTTTTGTGTGTGTTTTTTGGCTTTCTTTGCTATCTTCTTTGGCACTGTTGTAATCTCTTAGGATCTTGCACTGCGCTCAGTTTCCATGAGACACTCGCGGACCAGGGCCCGAGCATGGATAATACCTGTACAGACAGAAAACACAACAGGAGTTGCCACCCTCGCCCGCTCCACAGGCATATGGCACACACCACACGTGTTAGCTTGGAAGAAAAAAACTCAAGCCAAAAAAGAATGGATAGCTTGTCATGGGTACAGAAAGAAAGAAAAAAAGACATTTCTTCAAGTTCAACCTAGCCCTGCATACAGCTTATCCTAGATCGCATACAAATGCATACTGGGAAACACAGGGTATTATGGGTAGCTCAAGGGGCAAACAACATCAATACTTTATCATGCAAGGTTAGAGAAAATACATGAGCCAGGATAATCTAATGACAGCTGCAAACAATGTAAGTGCAATGTAGACTGTTAATAACATAAAGAACACTTATGCATTAGGAAAAGTCATTATATATACAAAAATACAGCACAACATTTCATGTCTCTCATATTCACAACACATAATTAGTCAGCATCAGGCATAGATGTTACAGGAGAGCACACCATTCCAACCTAATTCCAACATATATAAATTGCATGTTAACTGAACGCACCTCGCTTTAGTCTCTCAGTGGAGCTTTTGCTACCAGCATAAGTGGGACGTATGTCCTTCCCCAGGTCTTCTATAACAGCGAGAAGCTCGGCGTACTTGCTCTGAGGCACGGGACCGCCGCGTCCCAGCAGATGTGCACCGGGAATGAGTCCTCCCAGTGCTGGCAGGGACGAGGGGTTCACATGTCCAGCGGGTGACGCCATGATTAACTGGTGTTGGACGGGGAAGTAGGTGTTGGATGTTCCTGGAATTGAAGACATTACAGGTTGGAATTCTCTCTGGGAGAGAGAGAAAGAAGGAAATGGTTTTGATTTGTCCCTAGCCTGTTTGAGAGGAAGATACAAGCTTATGTACTCTTCAGGCTAAGGAGGATTAAATTTAAAAAACCATCAGGACAAGTAAATGGTTCAAGGTTATCATAGATGTACTAATTCAATTTCATTTTTCAGCCAAGACTGTATAGGACTGACATGCTGAGGAAAAATGTACATGAATTCTTTAAGCATGTGGTTAGCAGGGGTGAGTGAAAGCCGCATTCAATAGGAGGCAAATGTGAACAACACATGATGTGGCTGTCATCTTCTGAAATACAGTAGGTTTTGATGTACCAATATCAAAAATACTAGGTGTATATTATTACTAGTGCCTTAAATACTAACGTACCTCTCAAGAAAATTAATCAGTCCAAATTAAAACTGGGTAAGGCACAGGGAGTCATGCTTTGCTAGTCTGTTTTCCTGGTGCTAAGTCACTGGGGATGCACTGGCCAGGATGCGATAGCTCAGGTCCCTTGTTGTTCATGTCTATTGTACTGCACTAGCTATAGGCATTACCTAACATCAGGCTCACCTGTTACATTGAACATCGTGGTTCATATGTTTCTCAGCATGTGCCTGTAATTTGTTAAATAACCTATTGCCAGCCAACGACATTCTTGTCTAGAGATAGTAATCACCTGAGAAGTCCAGTTACAAGTGAAGAAGTCAAAGAAGTCAGAAGTATAAGAAATGTCGGATGATGAAATGATATTTTTGTCATTCTCTCTAGGTCCACTTAATGAGTTGATAAACTTTCCATGCACTCTTTATTGTCTTTAATACATGTAGCACAAAAGTCAGTCCATGTTGGCAATAGACATTGCAAGAAACAAGTTGGCTCCGTATACACTGAACACTGGTAAGTTTTATTCAAGCTGGCATAATAATAATACATAACTACATTTATTGGAAAGTAATAACATACAGAATGCTTGCACATCTGGGCTTCACTACTCTTGCCAAAAGGCATAAGAACACTCAATAAATGGTTACTTCATGTAGTACTGAATGCAAGTTGCCCTCCTTAAGAAGTTCAGAGGTGTAATTTCAAATAATCCTTGATATTTTGCTGAAAAATTAATGTCAATCTTTCTTGTGTGCAAAATATTGCAAAGTTCCCATTAACCTTTTGGAACAATTCATTTCACATTTAAAGTCAACTTACTCAATTCAACTTAAGATTGAAAAATAAACAACAAAGTTATCTTGTATCTTGTAAGTTGTATCTTGTATCAAAGTTTCGAAGCAGGTTGCTAATGAAGCCGCTGACGTCCCGTGAGAAGTCAGGAGAGCTGCTGGTAGATGTGGCAGGAGGAGCGGAGCTAGGTCGTGGCGGAGCCTGAGGAGCACTGCCGGGGCGCGGGAACTTTGTGTTCTGGAACTGCAGCTGTTGCTGATTGGTAGATCCCCAGACTGTGGTCGCGTTAGGAACCTGTGATGGCCAATGACGAGCTGCATCGTTTTCCGCTACCGCACGGAAGAGGACGTCCGTGATCTCTCTCTGGGTACGCCGCCACACGCCGTGTTCCAAGCCGACCAGGGTCGCACGCATCCACTCTGAGAACGCCAGCCTCTCTGGGTCCCCTTCAGGCTGGAGACGGTTGATGAGATGGCGCTGCATTGTCCCGATGTGGTCGGTGAGGTCCTCTAGGGTGCTGACCAGAGCCCTGTCCTGAACACCTGGCCTCTTCACTTCTGGAATTCTAGGGACTGGGGATGCGGACGTCGTGCTCACTGGTGCTTCACTAAAGTCTGAGGCAGGTTCAGTCTTAACAGTGATGACAGGGTCTAGAGAACCTCGGCTGGTTGTAGTAGCAGCCCTATGGGCAATCTGAAAAGATTTCATAAGTTCATTAGTCTCAGTATCTGACTAAATTGCCCTCCCACTGGTCTGTAGCCCTATAAAGAGAACACATTTGTTGCACGGTCAACTCATTTTGAAATTCTCTTCTAATGTGAATAAAAAAATTAATTAAGACAACAAATGAAGATATCTGTCAAAATTTGAAATTTGGAAAGGATACATACTAGAAACAATAGATGATAATACTCACACTCTTAGTCTTTATTGGCCGCCTGTGCACAGCTTCGATGTGCTTTCTGAGAAAGGATAAGTTCTCTATCACCCACGTGTCCCTGTCGGTGAATTCATCCTCAGGTTTCCTGGCGTTAGACCTTATGAGCCTGGCCATCCTTGTTCTCATGCTCCTGTACCAAGTCTTGAGATGTTCTACGCTCTTCCCCATTTCAGTTGCCTTCTCTTTCCACAGGGCCTCCTTCCTCGGGATATTCTTGTACTCCATCATTCTCCTGTTGTAGAACTCTGGGTGTTCTTTCAGCCACTTCAACATGATCTCTTCTTCTGGTTCCGAGAGTGTGGCGATCCTCTTGTCCTTTCTCTTCTTCTTGATTTGGCCACTGATGTCGAAGACCTCGGAGTCACTGGATTCCACAACGACACTCTCACGACGTCGAGTAAGATCTAAAGCAGCTTCTGATGCAGACATTTTCCCTGGATTTGTTTGCTTCCACCTCCTTGGAGGCATGGTGTAAAGTCAAGTTCTTCAGCCTGTTCCTCAGTAGGTCTTACATAGACAGTTTTGTATTGTCCCCTGCCATGTTTCAGAACTGTCACTAGCAGTCACTTTTGTCAGTTTCTAGTTGATCTTTCAATTGGTCCTTCAGCAATTTCTCATGTGAAGCACGGTCTCTCACTCAGCGGTCGCCACCATAGGGGCTGAAAATTCACCAAAAATTTTGCATTCATTGGGGGATGTTTGAAAGCCTGGTGAGACCGTTGAGTGCTCGTTGAGAATGCGAGATTGCTGAGTGACTCCTTGAAAGACCACTACATTCAGAGCAGACGTCTGACCGAGATGGTGTTTTGAACCAAATTCAACCACTTCAAAATTGAGAGCGACCACTCATTCATAGAGTTATTACCATTTGTTTAGAGATGAAAGCAATGATTAAAAAACATTGGGTATCACTGAACGCTCAATCAATGTGAAAGATTGTTGATTCTTTTTCCCAAATTATTAGACTCTCAATGGTCTCTCAACGGTCTCCCCTCTATGAAATGGGGATGTACAGGAAAAACTATGCTGATTGTAGTGTGTGATCCAGATCATCCTGCTTACTTCTGGTTCAGTGTCACATTGTACCTAGTAGGCTACATAACGTTACAAGTGAACCCTTAGCTTTTAGTTTTTACCTGCAAGCACATCGCCAGCAATCAGAGCCAAAGTCCTCGGTCTTTATACATCAAAACCTAAGGCTCAGTTCCGGAAGATAACGCCCCCATGATGTGTACTTTTTTACACACGAAATAGTAAAATACAGAAATTTGTGTGGTGCATGTATTTAATTATTATTTTACAATTTCCATTGCACTTTGCAGTTTGCTATTAATGCTGACCATACAACGAAGTGAAAAAAAAGGAAGAAAAAATGTGCTTTTTCCTAGCGAGGTTTTATATTATAGAATTGAACAATATCTGTCGAGGATTTCTTATTTTGCATATTTTACATCACCATTTTCTATACAAAAAATTACTGGTATATGTTTGTTTCACACATTTCAAAATCCACATGTCAAGAACAATACTAGCATCATGGACTGTTAATTCAATTAAAACAGGAAAAAAATTCTGTTTGAAAGAGAGAACAAAACACATTACCCCTAAAACTATTCATGCATAAATTCATACATATTCATACCAAACATGCTAAATAATTTAATACAAACAAAAAGCTTGCCAGTCAGACTCTATGCAAAACAGTGCAGTAGATTCGGGTAAATTATGAAGTTGTTTCACTTTTAATAGAAGAAGAGAACAAAGCGGTCGGCGATGCTCTATTTCAGGAAAATTTGAGGGGAAAACCTCGGAGATTTAATAAGGCAACGTCCAAGGCGACAAAGGAGGTATAGCGAAGGACGACGCTTTTTTTTAGTCAGAAAACCAACTCAAATTCTACGCAGTTAGTTCAAATTTAGTCCCTCACACTAAAGTCCAAACCATGCACTGCATCACAGAGACTCACCTGGAACCTGAGTTGGACTCAGGTTATCCATTTTTTAACGATAAAACACTCACCAAATTCTAGGACAACAAAAAACTTTTACCACACCGGCAACAAAGAGGGAGATACTTTTTCACATTGGGCTAAGGGTAGAGGTCGAGAACGAGGCTGAGGTCACTGGAGGTCACCGGAAGTGACGCGTAGGGCTGGACTGCTACTCATATGCTGCAGCAATACCTCAGTTTCGGTAGTATGGGGAGGGCTACCTGCGTCGTTCCCTCGATTTACGTGCAAAAACGTCAACTTTTACGTCTATATTCACTGCATTTGTGTGGCTCTTACCTCTGGGGACAAGGAAAAGCACAGTTCAGATCATATTTGAGGGGATTTAAGCTCTGGGGACCAGGTAACACTCCATATAACGTTACATGTAGGTAATGGGGACCAAATTGGTTATCAACGTTATATTTGTGTGGCCCCTCTTACATCTGGGCTCTTTTTTTAGCTCTGGGACTAGGTAAGGCAGCTAATACAGGAAACATTTGCACCGTAAAAGTAATAATTGCAGGGCTGTCAGGTCTGGGGACCAGGTGAGACACCTTACAGGTGAGTTACGTGTATTTCCTTTGACTTGGGTTGACTATGGACCAGGTGAGGCACCTTACAGGTGAGTTACGTGTATTTCCTTTGACTTGGGTTGACTATGGACCAGGTGAGGTACCTTACAGGTGAGTTACGTGTATTTCCTTTGACTTGGGTTGACAATGGACCAGGTGAGGTACCCTACAGGTGTAGTTACGTGTATTTCCTTTGACTTGGGTTCACTACCTGGTCTTACCTGGTCTCTAGTGCCCAGAAACACACCTATGTTACCTGTACGGTACCTTACCTGGTCTTTAGTGCCCAGAAACACACCTATGTCACCTGTACGGTACTTTACCTGGTCTTACCTGGTCTTTGGTGCCCAGAAACACACCTATGTTACCTGTACGGTACTTTACCTGGTCTTACCTGGTCTTTAGTGCCCAGAAACACACCTACGTCACCTGTACGGTACTTTACCTGGTCTTACCTGATCTTTAGTGCCCAGAAACACACCTACGTCACCTGTACGGTACTTTACCTGGTAAAATTTAACTTGGATGACCTGATCCTTGAGACAATCTCTCTTCAAAATGCTACCCAGGAAAACTGCTGCCTCAGAAAGGGTATCAGGCTACTAAACTCTAGTTTTCTCCTGCATTATCTAATGTAATGTACCATTATGCCAAGGGGCAGTTAAACTGGCCATATAGCATACAGATGCCAGCATCACCATATTCATATTAACTGTTTTTCATTCCAGATATCTGATACCGTATTTGGTCGAGTTATTTTCAGTTGAAATTTGCGCCATGAAAGCATAGATTTCTCTAAACTTTTTAAAACAAAGGTTTACGTTCCTCAAGAAAGCTTGAGTGCAACCATGGAAAAAGTCCTAAACGGATTAACTTCCGATTAAGGCTGTCCTTTCCATCAAGTACATTACCTCCAAACTGCACAGACGTTTTAGTCTTTACTCGGTCACTACTAGTACTGGGATTGTTAATGACAGGCGTGCGTTCAAGTATTATGGTGGGATACATGATTTTGATGCTGTGTATTTGCAGTTCATGTATTGTATACTGACTTGAACTACACTGAAAATAAAAGTCTATTGAAACAAGAGTGAAAAGGTGTATTTTCAGCTTTAATAATAATTGAATTGTGCTAAAAATAATATACAATGCACTATCAATATACGGGAAATGTCCAGAGGTACTAGAGGTAATGAATCTAGTTACTATAAAATGTTATGCCTTAGGCCACACCAATTTAATTTCTTGGTTAACAGATTTTTCTAGAAAAATAATGGAGTGGGCGGGCGAAAATAAAAAATAAAACAGGCCTAGGCATCCTATTATGGAGCCATGAAGTAAACGCTGGTTCAAAATTTAAACAATGGATTTTGAACTTTTAATGATACCATTGCATTGAAAGATGGAATAACTGTAACAAGTAGGATGAAAATGACTGTTTTTAACTGTTAAGGGCAAATATGAGCATTTTGAGGTTGATTCTGAATTTTTTTTTTATTTGCAAATCAGAAAAAAATGAAGCGGGCGAAGCGGTTAACCAAGAAATTAAATTGGTATGGCCTTAAACAGTTTTATAAATATTGTTATACATGTACATGCGACTCAGACAAATAGAAAACAAACAAGCAAACAAACAAATGCAGAATTTTTGTGCAGTTCATCATACAATTTACTTCTACTAAGTTCTAGTTATTCTACCATTTGGAGAAACAACCTTTCAGAATTAATATAACATAAGTCAGGGTTCAGCATTCATGTTCTTGTTGAGAAGTAAAGCTGGCACTTCCAAGAATTCCAGAATGTGATGCATAGATATCTCCAGCTCCTGCTGTGTGATCAGTTTCTCCTTTTTGGCAAATGCACTGAAAAAAAGAGAAATAATCTAGGCCAGCAGTATATACATTGTATATACAGAGATGTCAATAACCAAAAAATTAGGTACAAAAGACCAAACGTATCTGAAGTGTATGGTCTTACCAGGTCTCAAGAGCTATGAACCATTACGAACAAACATTACCTGTATAGTCTCTTAGTTGAAGATAAAGGACAATGCAAATATACCTATACAGTAGTGCCTTACCTGGTCCCCAGATAAAAAGGGGCCACATGCACGCATGCAAATGTATGGTACCTTACCTGGTCCCCAGAGCTAAGAGCTCTGCAAATATTACCTGTACAGTGCCTTACCTGGTCCCCAGACCTAAGAGCCGTGCAATTATTACCTGTACGGTACCTTACCTGGTCCTTAAACCCAAGAGCAGCGCAATTTTTTACCTGTACAGAACCTCACCTGGTCCCTAGTCTAGAAAATAAACTCTACTCACATGTACGGCACCTCACCTGGTCTACAGTCAGAGAAAATAAACTCTACACACATGTACGGCACCTCACCTGGTCTACAGTCAGAGAAAATAAACTCTACTCACATGTATGGCACCTCACCTGATCCCCAAGTCTAGAAAATAAAGTATACTCACCTGTACGGAACCTCACCTGGTCCCCAAGTCTAGAAAAATGACTCTACTCACCTGTACGGCACCTCACCTGGTCTACAGTCTAGAAAATAAACTGTACTCACCTGCAAGGAACCTCACCTGGTCCCGAAGTCTAGAAAATAAAGTGTACTCACCTGAACAGCACCTCACCTGGTCCCCAAGTCTAGAAAATAAAGTGTACTCACCTGTAAGGCACCTCACCTGGTCCCCAAGTCTAGAAAAATGACTCTACTCACCTGTACGGCACCTCACCTGGTCTACAGTCTAGAAAATAAACTGTACTCACCTGCAAGGAACCTCACCTGGTCCCGAAGTCTAGAAAATAAAGTGTACTCACCTGAACAGCACCTCACCTGGTCCCCAAGTCTAGAAAATAAAGTGTACTCACCTGTAAGGCACCTCACCTGGTCCCCAAGTCTAGAAAAATGACTCTACTCACATATACGGCACCTCACCTGGTCCCCAAGTCTAGAAAATAAACTGTACTCACCTGTACGGCACCTCACCTGGTCCCCAAGTCTAGAAAAATGACTCTACTCACATATACGGCACCTCACCTGGTCCCCAAGTCTAGAAAATAAACTGTACTCACCTGTACGGCACCTCACCTGGTCCCCAAGTCTAGAAAAATGACTCTACTCACATATACGGCACCTCACCTGGTCCCCAAGTCTAGAAAATAAACTGTACTCACCTGTACGGCACCTCACCTGGTCCCCAAGTCTAGAAAAATGACTCTACTCACATATACGGCACCTCACCTGGTCCCCAAGTCTAGAAAATAAACTGTACTCACCTGTACGGCACCTCACCTGGTCCCCAAGTCTAGAAAAATGACTCTACTCACATATACGGCACCTCACCTGGTCCCCAAGTCTAGAAAATAAACTGTACTCACCTGTATGGCACCTCACCTGGTCCCCAAGTCTAGAAAAATGACTCTACTCACATATACGGCACCTCACCTGATCCCCAAGTCTAGAAAATAAACTGTACTCACCTGTACGGCACCTCACCTGGTCCCCAAGTCTAGAAAAATGACTCTACTCACATATACGGCACCTCACCTGGTCCCCAAGTCTAGAAAATAAACTGTACTCACCTGTATGGCACCTCACCTGGTCCCCAAGTCTAGAAAAATGACTCTACTCACATATACGGCACCTCACCTGGTCCCCAAGTCTAGAAAATAAACTGTACTCACCTGTATGGCACCTCACCTGGTCCCCAAGTCTAGAAAAATGACTCTACTCACATATACGGCACCTCACCTGGTCCCCAAGTCTAGAAAATAAACTGTACTCACCTGTATGGCACCTCACCTGGTCCCCAAGTCTAGAAAAATGACTCTACTCACATAAACAGCACCTCACCTGGTCCCCAAGTCTAGAAAATAAAGTGTACTCACCTGTACGGCACCTCACCTGGTCCCCAAGTCTGAAAAATGACTCTACTCACCTGTACGGCACCTCACCTGGTCTACAGTCTAGAAAATAAACTGTACTCACCTGCAAGGAACCTCACCTGGTCCCGAAGTCTAGAAAATAAAGTGTACTCACCTGAACAGCACCTCACCTGGTCCCCAAGTCTAGAAAATAAACTGTACTCACCTGTACGGCACCTCACCTGGTCCCCAAGTCTAGAAAAATGACTCTACTCACATATACGGCACCTCACCTGGTCCCCAAGTCTAGAAAATAAACTGTACTCACCTGTACGGCACCTCACCTGATCTCCAAGTCAGAGAAATAACTGTACTCACCTGTACGGAACCTCACCTGGTCCCCAAGTCTAGAAAATAAACTCTACTCACCTTTACGGCACCTCACCTGATCTGTAGTCAGAGAAAATAAACTGTACTCACCTGTACGGCACCTCACCTGGTCCCAAAGTCTAGAAAAATTACTCTACTCACCTGTACGACACCTCACCTGGTCCATAGTCTACCCAAGTCAAAGGAAATACACGTAACTCACCTGTAATGTACCTCACCTGGTCTATTGTCAACCCAAGTCAAAGGAAATACACGTAACTCACCTGTAAGGTGCCTCACCTGGTCTATTGTCAACCCAAGTCAAAGGAAATACACGTAACTCACCTGTAAGGTGCCTCACCTGGTCCATAGTCAACCCAAGTCAAAGGAAATACACGTAACTCACCTGTAAGGTGTCTCACCTGGTCCCCAGACCTGACAGCCCTGCAATTATTACTTTTACGGTGCAAATGTTTCCTGTATTAGCTGCCTTTCCTAGTCCCAGAGCTAAAAAAAGAGCCCAGATGTAAGAGCCACACAAATATAACGTTGATAACCAATTTGGTCCCCATTACCTACATGTAACGTTATATGGAGTGTTACCTGGTCCCCAGAGCTTAAATCCCCTCAAATATGATCTGAACTGTGCTTTTCCTTGTCCCCAGAGGTAAGAGCCACACAAATATAGACGTAAAAGTTGACGTTTTTGCACGTAAATCGAGGGAAAGACGCAGGTAGCCCTCCCCACACTACCGAAACTGAGGTATTGCTGCAGCATATGAGTAGCAGTCCAGTGTTCTGTCCAATAGCAGCGTGGCTGTACATCGTCACGCGTACTACGGCACTTCCGGTGACCTCCAGTGACCTCCGCCTCGTTTTCGACCCCTACCCTTAGCCCAATGTGAAAAAGTATCTCCCCAACAAAGATGGTGGCTGAAAAATTGTGTATCCCATCATGCACCACGATAAGCATGGAAGAGTTCAATATCATGTATTCTATAGGGGAGAATCATTGCCAGATGGAAAAAAAATAATCATATCTTTTCTAATGTTAGAGAGACAACACTAAGAAATTAATCAATATTTATTATATACTCTATGTTACACCCATTATGTATTATAATGGAAAAATGATACTTTCTTTATTACAAACATTAGAGATTACCCCCTTAATATGAAATAGATGGTACCAAAGCACTTCCGGATCCGTTTTTTCCCAGGTGATATGCCGGACTGCAACTTGCAACCTTACCCGGATTTTCCGTTCTACAAGGTAGATTCGTGCCGTGCATATTAATTACTGCCGCCAGGAAATTCTATCAAGGCACGAATTCTTTCCCAAAGAACGGTAACGTACGGAATGTTTAAGCCTATTGCGCCTTTTGACCCTTTAAGTCAACATTTAGTCAATGATTAACTCCCACAAATAGAGATGGGCGAGTGTTATGAGGGTTATAAAACTGGCCTGATACTTCCCCCTGCTTCGAGGTCCGGAGGTTTCTGATCTGAATCAATTTCCGGTTTCCACATGATTGCTTACCCCCACTGCCGAATTTGACCTCTTTTGTTCGTCTCAACAGGTTATTGTATATTTACATTCTCAGATGTAACAATCATTAGTCTCACTCTAGTAAAATTTGCGTAATTATTCTTCAAAGTTGATTTTGAAACCGAAAGAAGCATGCTTTCGTGCACTTTGGAGTCTACAGTGTACTTTAGACCATGGACTCGGAGTGAAACCTCCATGACAACCTCCTTGTTTAGACCAACGACATACCAGAGTTTGTACTCAGTTGGTCAGCTGTTCATACATACTTGGTGAAAGTTCATGTTTACAAAATTTACTTATCAAAACCATATACATTTGTATTTTTATTTTATCAAAACCATATAACGTTACCTGTGTAATATTGTGAGTAACATAAATTTATTGTGATAGGGCATGATTGTCTCTGAGTCAATTAATTAAAGGTTTCAAACATGAAATGAATTAACCCAAAAGCTCTGTCTTTTAATTTATTACAGTTTACTTTGTTTCACAGATCTTTTCATCTGTCAATGAACGAAGTTCACAGCAGACCCAGGGATGGCAGAAGACAGCCAACTTCTCTGTAGGAAGGATAGGTGAGTACATGAATATTGCTTATGTTGATCCAATAGGAAATGCCATGATCTACTTTCTACGTTATAACAAATGTAGTACATAGAATTGTGATTGTTTTTTCTTTGATGTAGCCTGACTCATGTGAGCCGGCCTGCCTGAAGGCTGCCCCGGCACATCAGGCTAATAGTAATGGATTTCTAACTTAATTGGAATATTTTTCACAGATATGGAGGGGTTGTTGTTGAAACTACAAAGCAACAATGCAGCACTGAAGAATTCAAAAACAAGTTAGAAGGTGTGGTAGCAATAATTTTATATTACTTAATAGCTGCATTGATTTTTACCTTTCTCAGCATTGTTTGTATCGACATATAAGTCTTTGGGTTTTGAATTCTATCTACACATTCTAGCACTTACAAGTATAGATAATGCTTGAATTCCAAAACAAATACAGACTTTATACTACTACATACCAGTACATGTAAATGTAATTCACATAATGTAAATTCTAAAATGTGAGAGTTTGATACTGATCAGAATAGACAAAAAATCATGAACACCTTGGGCCGCTTGGCTATCAGAAACACAGCTATCATAGTTGAATACTACATTTTTATTGATATATATGAAACTAAAACGTATAAAAAAAGAACATTATAATTCAATACATGTATCATAAACTGAATTTATTTTCTCAGCTGACTTGACGAAATGGCAGGAAATTGGAGTACGAGGTGTCTGGATCAAGATTAGTCTAAAGGATGCTGACATAGTCCCTATTGCTGCTCAGGTCAGCATTTTTTCTTCTTTTTTTGATGAAAAAGACTAATCTTAAATCACATTTCAGCCTCATCATAAGGACAATTGCCTTATGACACCATCAATATTGTATCAGCATAGTTGCTTCATGGCAAAAGAACAACCTTTACCAGTATTTTCATCTTACCAGAAAAGTATGTATCTTTCCCTTTACAGAAGGGGTTTGAGTTCCACCATGCCCAGAAAGATTACGTCATGATGATCAAATGGCTTCCTACAGATGAACCTAACATGATCCCAGGATATGCAGCACACTATGTCGGTAGGTAGACTAACCTTAGGAAGGTAGCAGTAGGACTACCGGAAAACTAGTAGGTTTTCATATAAGATCTTTGATGTCCTATGATGTACCAATGCAGCTAATCAAACTGTTTATGTTCTGTTCACAGGTGTTGCAGGATTTGTGGTGAATGATCGGAATGAAGTTCTGGTGATCCAGGAGAAGTACACCCACTCTGTGAAGGCCCACTGGAAACTGCCAGGTGGCCTCGCTGAACCAGGTGATTGATTGATAGCAGTCAGAACTGGAAAAAAACCATTAGGCCTCCACCAGGCCGTCCCAAACTTCCCTAGCCAATTATTCCACCCAGTTGGCTATATTTTGCTGATTTTGATTCTGTAGACTGTTAGTCTGAGGGAGACGAGAAAAACCTAAAAAAAACAACTAATGCAACATCAATTGTCACAAATGTATGCACATTTTAGATATCCAGGTGTTCATTCTTGAGAAATCCTTGATGACATTGTTGTTTGCAGTCTTCAGATACCTTGCAGAATTATGAGAGATGAGCGTAACAATAATTGGTTCAACTCTTTCTTGTGTCCACAGGGGAGGACCTTGCAGACACAGCCAGGAGAGAGGTCCTGGAGGAGACAGGAGTTGACGCCGAGTTTCTTTCTCTTCTCTGTTTCCGACACCAGCACAATTTCTCCTTCGGCTGCTCTGACATGTACTTTGTATGCCATATGAAGCCCAAGAATCTAGACATCACCGTAGGTGAACAAGAAGTGACAAAATGTCAGTGGATGCCAGTAAGTATCACATTGGGTATCATACTAACTAATGTCATTGCAAGACCTCTTTTCCTAAGTCTTTAGTTCTATACATATCTTCATGAAACAATACCCGTTTCTCCAAATACATCCATACTGATGTTTTTTCAAGATCTCTTTGAATTCCTAAATCTTTTTCGGAAAAGCCCTGGTCTAGCTCCTACACATATCTTCATCAAAACTACATGTATAACATGGCAGCTCATGATGCAATATTTCTGTTCGTACCCCCCCCCCCCCAAATACATCCACTTCCAGATTAGCGAGTTCTTCAACCACCCTGACGTCAGCGAACAACACCGCTTCTTCATTTCATGTTACCAGGACGGCGCCGCTAGTTCCTGGGACACCTCTATTGCTGCTAAGAGGGTTATATCTTACTGGAAGGACTCACATGACCTTGTTTACAGCATCAGTAGAAGGAGACCAACATACAGCAGTTTTTCATTTTAACCTTGTCCCTGCTGTACTCAGGTGTACCAAAAATTTAGTGCCAAATGGCTATACCTCAGCAGGGAAAGGGTTAATCTACTACAAGAGTTATTATAACTCTTCAAAGAAAGCAGTGAGGAAACTTTTGTGAAGAAGGGTATGATACTCAGCCCGTTGTCCTTCATATGCTAGTTTGCTCCTCTCATAGCTTCCTGTTATGTAGTCTGGCACCCATCCCCATGTTTGGCCATTACGTCATCTTTTAGATCATTCAGATATTGAAAATTTCTCAGAGGCAACAGGATCAGATTTCAAACACCTGGGGACACTGTGTGGAGCCAATCAGAGCTCTTGCATATAATTCAGGAACATATTCTTATGCCAATTAATGTGTGCCAGACTGGTCAGCCAGGGAAGCAGTCAGAGGAGCAAACAAGTCTCTGAGCTAAGATAGGACAGATGCCTGCTGTAAGATACTGAAGAAACAAGGAGACCAATCATATCAGTAATTGATTTGACCAGTATCATTGGTGTTTTCCAGTTTGAGGAATACTTGAGCCATCCCTCGTTGACTGAAACTAACCGCTTCATCGCACAGACATTCAAGTCTACAGTCCTGCAGGGATCCTCCAGGATAGCAACCTCAGGCATACCTTCAGTCAGAACAGGGAGAAATCACTTGCTGTATAGTATTCATAATTGTCCATAAAAGTCTATCAAGTAGTACTCCAATTCTAGGGAAGTGAGTGAAAAGGTCATATTGGGAAAAAGTCATATATTTATCTATTCTCACTGTGAGAATAATAATTTAGCCGATGGTCAGCATTGTTGAGTAGTTTAGCAATTGTTAATTTGGAGTACATTTTATAAAATAAGTTATATAGTGCCGTAAAGATTTTAAAAGTTTGTGTAAAATGTACTCAGGGAGAACAAATGCCAAACTATTAAAAAATGTAAAGTAATTGATTAAGACATTAATACTATGCAATGGTTGATGGAGATTGTTATTTTATATTGTCCCAAACATGCAGGGTTTTTACTTGGTGACTTATGTAAAATCTGAATGTTCGCTGATTTGAAAACTATGAATATTGTTGATAAAACATTGTAAAATATGCATATATCTAGCAGAATATTCATTTCTATTTATCTATCAAATAAACCACAGGACCACAGGAAGAATAGCCTCTTACGAGGCTAATTGTGGATCTGAAATAAAACTCAAACTCAAACCACCAGAATGACTTACCCACAATAGTACACATTTGCAGTGTCTAAATCTTAGCATGTAGACAGATTCATGCACTATCACATGGCAGAAAAGTGTCTAGAATTCAAACTGTGTTTTTATGGATGAATTATGAATATTTCCTCTTAGTCTCCTACTACATTTTTGTACTTGTAACAAAGAAAAAAGTGACAAATAAAGTTTTGAGGCTATACAGTGTAACAATTGTCTTCTACATGTCCTCTGAATAGCAATTTATGGCAGCAAGATACATGTATAACGTTAACTGACTTGAATTGCCTACACTGAGCATTATTACCTTCGCCAAGAAGGTTAATGTTTTTCTAGGGGCGTTCGTGTGTGTGTGTGTGTGTGTGTGTCTGTCTGTCTGTCAACACGATAACTTGAGAAGGCCTTGATGGATTGTCTTGATACTTGGTAGGTGGGTAGGTCTTGATGAGACCTCAAAATGATTAGATTTTGGGCCACCTGGCGGCTTGTCATGGTACTGCAGCAGAACTTCCGGTTTTGATATCTCATGATCCAGACATGCTAGGGTGACGAAATTTAGATGGTAGATAGCTCTTGTGCTGGGGATAAAGTGACATGAGTTTGAGCCCCCTAGTTGCTTGCTCTAGAACTGCAGGGGGGTTTAATGGACAAATGTTTAAAGGGGGATAACTCAAGAACCGATTGATGGATCATCGAGATTTGTGGTATGTAGGTAGCTTGAGTGATGCTTGACATAATGATATCACAATTATGCAAATATGGATGTAATTTGCATAATTAATGAGGAAATTCTATTTATCAGCTGTATTCCATAATAGGAAGTTCAAGCTTGTGACATATGTTATTAAGAATGAGAGAAACACAGGCAGATATCGATTATGCAAATGAAGACTTAATTTGCATAATAAATGAGAAAATATTATAATTGCATAGTGGTAACTGCCTGGAATTTTATACTTGGGGTGTTTGAAAGTTAAGTTAAGGTGAACATAATTAAACATAACTTATTCAAATAAGGACCTCGTTTGCATAATTTATGAGAAAATGTCATCATGGCATTCTTTGTTAAGATAAGACTGTCTTTTGGTGGAGAATATGATCAACAGATATAATTCATGCAATTGAGGATCTTATTTGCATAATTAGGGGGACTAATATATAATTTCTTAATCATAAAAGCTAACATCATTTGGCGAAGGTATGAGATTGTGGAACTCTAGTTAGAGATTCCTTAGTTTGTTCAAGGAGTGAACTTTTCTCAGTGATGTATGACAGACAGTTGTGGCGAACTAACTTTGTATGCTCCACCTCTACGGAGGATGAATGATGATGATGATGATGAGTTTGTTCTCTAGCTCATTTAAAAAAGCTGATTAACTTAAGTTATCAGTATTTATTCTCATTCATACCTCTTAACTCTTAATTTGCTAACGTTAACGTTACCAATATCCCAATGCTAAGAAATTAAATTGCTGTGGCCTAATATTACCACAAACATATAACGTTACTAGAAAAGTAACATTTGCAAAGAAAATCCATTATGTTTACCTTCGCATATGGTCTGCTCTGTTAATTCTTACTCAAACACACTGGAGTCTAAATCCCTCCTACTAAATTGCAACATGATGTAACTGAACACCAGTTACCATGGTGAGAGACAGTCTGGTTCAGTCGGGCCAGAGGTCACTGTTTGGAGAAGAAGAAACGTGGCAAAAACAATGTGTTTTCCTTCGGTAAAACATAATAACTTGTAAACATGTAATATACAAATTTCCCGCCAAAATCATTTCGTGATACGAGAGGTCACCTTGAGCATTTTTAACATCACGCGAGAAACGGCGAGATGTCAATGTTGGGGAAAATGGCCGACGTTCAGTGTAAGCAAATCCAGGATTTTCTCTCGAATTTGTAGAAATTTTTTACGCAGCAGAAAAAAGCAGCCACTGTTCCGAGGGTGCCCACACATCTAACGACACCATGGGGACGGAAGAGCGAGAGGAGGCCGTGAAGAAGGCGCTGGAATCGTGCAAGACTCTGCAGTCCATGATTGACATCAGCGCGTCCAATCTGAACGGGCTGAGAACGATGTGCGAGACATCGCACGACCTCACACAAACAGAAATACGAACTTTAGAGGTAAGATTCCTTCCTGCTCTGTTCTTTTGACAAAACGGGGCGTCTTTTCCCTCGAAAGGTGACACTGGAGGCACCATAAGTTTGGATTTCATCCCCTGATTTCACCTGTTCACAGTGGTATGACAAGTTACTGTTTTATGAAAATCTTGTAAAAGATGAAACCAGCGCCAAACCCATCAAGTTTCTTACCAAACCACACATTGTAAAACAAATTTAACTCAACATGACATGCCATCTATATTTCAATTGGACGGTTTTTTGTGCACTAAGAAGCTTCAATATGAGATCCTTTTCCTCGATCCAGATGTTTGCAAGCATTTTGTTTACATGAACACTGAAACTTGACAGGTTGTTTACTGTTTACCAGGCGAGAAAAATAAACAGGCTGAAGGACTCGTATGGCACCAAAGGGGAATAGAAAATTGAGGCTGGTATTTCCTGCTACCTGGTAGTAATAGGAATTAAATTCTAAATTGTATTTTATACAAAATTTATATCTGATTAGCACAATTATGGAAACTGGATTTCTGGAAAATGACAAGGTTACATGTATGCAGATAGAAGTCTATTATGAATTGCTGCAAGAAGGCCAGATTTTGAAAAGTGTTCAAGCAAAAAGTCATGACCATCCATGGAAATGATGCAATGTACCCATTGTCCTTTTATTTGCATGATTGTGCCACCTGTTTACACGTAGTGTGTGTGTGAGTCACCTGTCAGACATCTGCAGTCTGCAACACTTGGAAATAAGTGATGGCAGACTTCGCCCCATTACCCATACTGATTTGAAAATATTCAGTACCACCGACAAAATAGCAGCACAGTATAGCTAAGAATGTATGGCAACACTGCACTGTGTGCACACACACACTGACAGGCAGACAGACACACAAATAGACAAATTCAGTTAAACATGGATATGGGTACTAGTATGGTAACAAATCATTTTGTATGTTGGAACAAGGAGTAAGAAGTGCTGTGTATACTATAATACCCACCACACCGACCGATTTGTACAAAGATATGAAATATAACCTTTACAAATCATTTGCATGGAGGAATAATTATGACAAAGCACTTGGAATCCTGGGGAACCAGGAATTTTAGAAGAACATGTTGATTGTTCACTCCAAAAAGTCTCATGGCCTAAATTGCTTACTTGTACTTTTTCGTCAGGAGAAATCTAACTTGTAGATCTAGAAAAACATGTTGTTGCATGTCAGCAATTTATAAGACCTTTACAGGTTTTAGATTCAATTTCAAAGAAATATTTAGGAACAGTGCTGATCTTAGCAATCCATTTTCTAAATGTAATCCTAAAAGTTGTCTATATCGTATATGATTTGACTTGCATTTCTTGATAGAAAAGATTTTAAGATATGATTATTCTGTTGGAACAATTGTTAAACTAATTAGGCAAAGTTGATATTTTCTGAATTGGCTGTTGCTCTTGATAACAGTTGGAAACTAAACAAAACACAAGGGTCCATGTAGGTGATGCAAAAAGAGGAAACTCCCTGTTATTGATAATGATATTTAAGTATTTACCTATATGTGGGCAAAACTGTAAATATGTACACTTGCATTATATATGTTACATCTGCATTTGATATACATATTTGTGCTAGAGTCAGCTTTGATATCAAACTTAATCCAAAAGGATTCAGGAATATGGTCTTGCAACCTTGCCAAATTTGCTTTTCTCTACAATATTTCACAAAATCCTCAGAATAGTCGTAATTCATCATTCCTAATAAAGGAGCCTTCTCCCCTAAGACGTTTCCCCCAGTTTTATATTCATCTGAGCCAGAAGTGGCCCCGATGTGAGACATAGATGGATGGCGTCACCATGAATTCTCTCCCCTCGTTACATGCATTACGTAGGCTCTGCCACTTTCCTCGGGTGAATGACTCCTGCCCGGTGCTATGAATATCCTCCTGACGTAAACGCACGCATCTCCGCCGCCCACTCCTCCTGACCCGTACACGGTTATCTTCGCCGCTCTTGCGTCATGTACAGGCCCACCGCCGGGCGATGTCATTTGCATAACAAAGGTGCATCCGGACACTAGATGTGTCAGCAGATGACACCAGCACTGATAATGATATAGAATTACCACCTCTCAATAGCTTTGATCCTGCCAAGAAAAACTACTGACAAATTGTATGCCTTGTACATGAAGGGGAACATTATGAAGTGAAAGTATACAAATGTAAGTTGAGGAAGGCATGAAGAAGGCGATTTATATACATTTTTATTGAGACCAGAAAGTGGGCTGGTAGATACATTTCGTGTACTTTAGCAGTTTAGTACATGCAAATTGTTAATTGATATAATTTTCATTTGTGTTGGTACATTTTTCACAACACATTAACTATAATTTAGATTTTTTATTACATAATACAATGTTCTTCTAATATTGGTTATTTCAGAACAGTGTAACTTTGTTGATCTTCAGATGAACATTCAATCTTCCATATTGAAAAAACACTCCTGTTGCCATGCTATGCCACTTTAATTTGTTGATTCCCAGATATTTAAGAATAATATAGAACATCAATGTGTTCATCAAACTTTAACTGATAGAAACTCTATACCTTGGCACATTCACTTACAGAGCAGGTGCATATTCATACTTAGTCAGATGCAAGTTTTTCTCCTGTAGCCCTCAGAGTGTTGTCATCGATCTTGACCAGTGAAACGTTGAAATGTACAAGAGAACCATGCATGAAAAAGTTGGTATAAATTTAGGTGCCACTAGCTGTCCATGTCCTTGTGTGTTGTTGTGTCCACATTGCGTGGACTGTTGTCTGAGTGTCTGGTGTGGTTAGTGGGGTGTTGGCTGGTACTATTCTTGTCCTGGGGTATACTGGGAAATGCCCGTGGGTTCGCCTGTGGTGGGCGGGTGGTTTCCCCCTGGATGACTCACCTCCAAACAATCCTATTATTCAATTCTACCAACTCACCTGTTCAGACAATGAAATACCTGCCCGAAAGGAAGTCACATAAAAAAATGGCTGTTGACTGTTCAGAGGAATTTTTGAGTGCACAGAAATCTTTATTTATTTTACCCCTAGCTGGTACCATTTTTGTAATTGTGTACATATATTGTTTACTTAACTATTTCCTGTTTGAAATTCTCAGAAAATGATAAGCAATTAATGAAAACTGTTTGTGTGGTTTTTAAGGTTCTGAAAAACTATCTCGTTTTTTATTTGTGTTGGCGGCGTTGCAGTAATTTTGAACATTTTTCAATTTACTACATTGTACAATTTGTACAAATAGTGAAAAGATGTATTGAGACAGAAATTATATGATAATATTGTCCTTTTCAGCATTTACCATTGGAAGGAAAAGCATTGCATTTTTTTATATATTTATTTATTTATTTTGGTTAATCAATAGAGTGATGTGATCATTAGTGACAGCATTTATTTTTTCTTAGATACAACAGACAATAGACTACGACATAATTTGAATTCATAACAATCCAGAGATCTTTTCTAACAGCTAAGTCAAAGGTTTCAGGTAGCCATCAAATAGAATGAGGTTTTACACAAAAATATTTCATGTTCTTTAGCTCACACAACAAGGAGCATGACACCTTGGCAAATGCACATGTTAAGCCTAGTGTTTTCTGTTTCAGTGCTGAAAAAATTGGGGTCAGTAGGTCTATGGATTATCTTTTTTTTTTAAACGTCTTCAGTAATATCTATATAGCCAGGGGTCCAACTTTTAGTTTAACAAAGTAAAACTTGCATATTGTATGAGAACACTTTTATTTTCAATGTCAATGTTAGAAAACCAATTGTACAATCACTCGGGTGTCAGATCATGGAGCATTAGGCCACACCAATTTAATTTGTTGGTTCTCGGATTCACCTCTTCGTTTTTTTCTGATTTGACAAAAAAAAAAAAATTGATTCTAGGTCCTGAATCAACTGAAAAATGCTCATATTTTGCCCCCAACAGTTGAGGAAAGTCCTTTTCTTCCTAGTTGTTACAGTTTTCCCATCTATCAATGCAGTGGTTTGATTAAAAGTTCAAAATTCAATGTTTGAATTTTTAACCCAGCCTTTTGTGTTGACTTCATGGCTCATTCCGTAGCATTTAAGCCTATAATAGGATGCCTAGACCTGTTTTATTTATTTTTTCGCCCTGTCGCTTCATATTTTTTCTGAAAAAATCCGAGAACCAACAAATTAAATTGGTGTGGCCTAATGAGCCAGTTCACACACTATTTTCTACTATTATAATTACTGAATTATTCTAAAATCGAAACGAATAAGTTGCGAAAATATTACGAAATATACATTGCAAATGAAATGAAGTACAAAAGTATGGTCAACCCTGACTGAAATGTCCAAAAGTTTTCTGTAAATCGCATTCATGATTTTGGGGCCTAAAACTTTGAGGACGCCATCTTGTTTACGCGAATTTTTGGCGGGAACATCGAAAATATTTGCATCTGAACACGTACGGGCACATTCCAACAGGTGTTTTGAACCACGTGGAGATAAAGCAAAATGCTGCTTAATACACATTTTCTTTCAACAAATATAACCTCAAAACGCTGAACAAGTGACTAAGAAGACATACAC